GTATATAGGTATATAGGTATATAGGTATATAGGTATAGCCTATTATCACGACATTATTATTTTGCATAATTAAAAAGTTCATCTATTGCTTAAATAGTCTTAATATTATGAGTTAGTATGAATTTTAGCAGGTAAAAACTCTCTAACTGAAAACCCCAAAAAGCCCAATAAAACCCACTTGGCTGTTTTTTGTTGTTTAAAAAACCCGGGGTTTTTTTCCAATCCCAATAAAATATGATTAAAATTACCGTTTATCTGAATGCTGTGAGAGATGTAAATTCATCTCTTCCGATGAAGAAAACTCCTTGAGGAACAATTCATCAATTAATTCATTAATTATATGGCAAGGGAAAATATTCAATAAATAGCTAAACATACAGGGTTACCCATAAAGGATGAAACTGACTGTACAGAATTTAATGGAATGTCTTTTCTTATAGTCTTGGACCCCTGCAACTGGATGTCTGTTTACATCCTTTAGATCTTTATACAGGGTGTCCCACGAAACATGACAGTTGGTGAATAGTTTAAAATATCTTCTTCCATAATTTGATAAGTTGTTTGATACTAAAGAGACTAATAACATTTTTATATAACAGTTATATTAAGTAAAATTGATTTCACAGTAAAATATATACGAGTTAAACATTTTTTTGAAGAAATACACTGCAAAAAGTCTTTAATATCTAATACAGTATATGGAAGAAGACATTTACAACTATTCACCAACTGTCACGTTTAGTGGGACACCCTGCATTTTATGAAGTTTTGGTCGTCATTAACGTCTCATTCTTTTTGGGTAACCCTGTAGTTGAACCGATTCTTTTCAGCTATTCTGTGAACATATTGTTTTACGTTTAGTCAGTTACAAAAATTGTTTCAACCAATTTAGAGATCTGCAATGACTCGCTTAAGATGATTGCTTTCTGCCGGTTCAAAATAATGCTTTTAACCGGTTTAAAACAGTGCTTAGGATCCATTTAATATTGATGCGGATGCGGATCCAGATCCTGTTTCCGCACTGGAAAAAAGTAGATCCGGATCCAAATCCGGAACCAAATCCAAACCCTGATCCGGACCCGTATTCGAATCCAGATAATTTCTTTAAGATTTACTGAATTTTTTAACAAAAAATAATTTTCAATTTTTTGTTTTATTTTTTTCCCTTATTTTTATCCTAAAACTTGATGAATCATTTTAATTTCTCTTTTTTCAAAAGTTCAGATTTAGGTTTCTGGAGTAAAATTTTTTTTCTTTCAGTTTTTGATTGATATTTTACCTCTTGGATCCGGATCCGTGGAACCACATATTTTTGCGGATCCCGATCCTGGAAGCCAAAATCTTGCGGATCCAACGGATCGGGATCCGGATCCTAAGCATTGGTTTAAAATAATGCTTTGTATCGGTTTAAAATAATGCCTTTTACCAGTTTAAAATGCTGCTTTCAACCGGGTTAAAGAAGTACAAATCAAATCAAATCAAATCATTCTTTTAGGGACGTCCTACACCCACACCCCAAAATTGAAGTGACTACACTAAATCAATAATGAAGTGAGGTCTCACGATTACAATAAACTGTAAACTGCTTTTAACCAGTTCAAAGTAATGCTTTTAACCCGTTTAAAATGCTGCTTTCAACCGGGTTAAAGAAATACAATAAACTGGTATACTGCTTTAACCGGTTTAAAATAATGCTTTTTAACGGTTTAAAATAATGCTTTTTATCGTTTTAAAGTAATACTAGTATACTGCTTTAACTGGTTTAAAATACTGCTTTTAACCAGTTCAAAATGTTGCTTTCAACCGAGTTAAAGAAAAAAAATTGGTATACTGTTTAAATCGGTTTAAAATAATGCTTTTTATCGGTTTGAAGTAATGCTTATCACCGGTTTAAAATAATGCTTTATATCGTTTTAAAGCTGTTTTTTAACCGGGTTAAAGAAGTACAATAAACTGCTTTAAAATAATGCTTATAACCAGTTGAAAATGGTGTTTTCAACCGGTTTAAAGAAGTACAATAAACTGTTGTGATGCTTTAATCGGTTTAAAATAATGCTTTTAATCGGTTTAAAATAATGCTTTTTATCGGTTTAAAATAATGCTTTTTATCGTTTTAAAGTAATACTTATCATAGGTTTAAAATAATGCTTTTAACCAATTNGGTTTAAAATGCTTTTTTCAACCGGGTTAAATTAGTACAATAAACTGGTATACGCGTCGAACGCATCAACCGGTTTAAAATAATGCCTTTTAGTGGTTTTAAAGTAATACTTATCATAGGTTTAAAATAATGCTTTAAAATTACCTTTGGGCAACTTAGATACGCTATCTTAACTTCTGCCTCAATATCTTTGCAGCAAATAGATCTGCCATCCCCTTCTCTCGGCTCAACTAGTGGTTTATCATCCATCTCTCTAGCATCATTTATTCGTTCACCATCCACCCCTCGTTCTCTTGAGCTAGATGGAGAAATCAAAGATATGTCCGCTTCCGGTCTTCTGAACAAAAAGAAATGAATATTACCATTAATAGCAATTACGAGGAAAACTAAATTTACTTCCGATATTTCTTAACTTTTTGGAAAAATCTTATTTTTTGAAGTGGTGTATATTTTTTAGAAACCCCCCCATTGGGGGGAAGGGGGAATGATTTTTGATGATATGGGGAAAAAATGAGTTTCAAAATGATTTTTGAGAAAATTTACACCCCTGATTATTTGAGAAAATATACACCCGGCCCTGATTGTATGATTATTTGAAAACATATACACTCTTATCGCATAAACTAACCTCTGAATATCAGGTTTAGAATCGGTTAACAAGGAAAAGGAAGAAATGCTTGGATCTCCGGATGATCGTAAATGATCTCCTAAGGGTTGTGAACGATCTTCACAGGATCGTGAATGATCTCCTGATGGTATTGAACTATTTCCGCAGGATCGTGAATGATCTTCCATACTATAGAAATCTTTAAAAACCAGTTTACAACTTCGACACTCGTATCTAGAAGAAGAAGGAAAATCATAAAAACTGATATTTTTTTTTAATTGACTAATCAATATATTTTTAAGAGTAAAATTGAGAATTCACAACGTTACTCTATAAAAGAAAATGTTAAATCTGTTTTCTCAAAAAATATTTTTAAAAGTTATTTAATTTTCACAAACTAACCTTATCAGGTAGATTAATATAGATTTTAAACTTTATTTTTTTCTTAATACCGGTTTTTTAGGGGGGTGCACATCAACCGTTAAGGGGGTGCACCCCCCTAGGCTAAACCTCTATTACCCCCCTGAGAGTTTCCCGATCAAAAGACAGTAATCGTAATTTCAAATGACCTTCAATGCAAAGATGACAATGCTTGACATACGACCGAACCCGTGAATGCTTTGTCTGGAACTAAATATCAATCTTTTTTCTTCTTTTAACTGTTTATTTTCATTTGCGGGTTCTCTGTTAAAGTGAAAGAAATAGAAAAACTCATAGTAATAAAATTTTTTCGAGTCAGAAAAAACTTTTGTATCTTTCACATTTTTGATCAGATTAAGGTTTAAGTGTACCGTTGTAAATCGGGCATTGCCATCTTTGAATGGAGGGTCACTTCAAATTACGATAACAGCCCCTTTAAAAAGCTTTGAAAAAAATGTCATTATTGACCTAGAATTATCTGTAAAATATTCAGTTTTTTTATATTTATCATTTTGGGGGTAACTTTTAAAAACAACACTTTTAAATAAGGACTAGGAGGCTTTATTCCGTGTTTTTTATATGCAGTTTTCAACCTATACGTTAAATTAAAAAAAAAACTTCATGTTTACAAATAAAAATTAATTTATTAAAAATTGAAAAAAAAATTGAAAGATTTTGTTTTTGCTTTGATGGCCCCCTTTAATATTTAAACCTTAACATTTTCCGCTATCCCTAAATTGCAAACGTAAAATAAGAATGTTTAAAATAATAATTATTTATAAGTGTCGTTTTCCTAATATATAACACTATATTATATATATCATATATCATATATTATATATATTATATATATCATTATATAACACTTAAATAAAGTTAATCGATCCTTCTAAAAAGCTTTGTCTGATAAAGAATTAATTAAATATCCATGTTTGTAATTATGAAACTTAAATTATTTTTAATTGTGGTTTCTTTACGACTTGCGGATATCTGCTACAAAAAAAACGATGTTGGAAGCATAAGAATTCAACACTTTTAAGGTAGTAAATCGACGAAATCTTCCACATAAATGAGCAGATAAAGATTTCGTTGGTATCGTCGTGTATGGGGCATTCCCCTTTTTTTAAATAAAGGGTCCATTGAAATTACGCTACAAGTCCCTTTAATCCCTACAAAGTTGAATTTGACCAAGAACCTAATACAAGGAAAGTTAATTACGGTCGCGTATACTCTGCGCACATGATAAAACCAGTTCTCTCTGTGCGGAATTTGTAAACAAGAATTTATGCATCAGTGTTTGTTTAGTATCCGATTAATTTTGATAATTTTGAAAATTCACTTTATAGTTTCTTATGACCAGAATATCTCATAGATTATTTTTGTGAAAATTGATTCCATGTTAGGCTGTGACATCCGTCTTGTGTTTACATTTCCGCCCAAAGACAGTACACTGCAGTACAAAAAATGAGTGCACCTCTGAAATAACTTTCCTTGCATTAGTACCTTGAATATTACCGACCTGAAGTGATTCTGCTGATTTGACAGGCTCAAGAAACAAACATCACAGATTTCGTTTTCAGATTTAAAATCCATTTCCGGCGGCAAAATATCCTCTTCAGGCGGCACAGATTCCAAGGGATTAGCTGCATCCGGTATTTCAGATTTTAAGTCCTCAGATTTAGTATCTGAAATAAAGACAAATATTTAATATTTAAGATGATGAATGATGATCTCTAAGGAAAACTTCTGGAGAAAGAAAATTATTTTCAAGGGGGGGGGGGAGGTTTGAAAATAGAGGGGGTTAGGTGGGGTTTCCAGTTTTGAAATGGTTCAGTTCTACAGAAAAACAAGGCTGACCTTGATCATCATCTGAATGTAGCTGATGAGATTGATGCTGAAGGTGTTGATGATGTTGATGATGAAGATGAAGCTGATGAAGATTAGGAAAGGTTTCTTGGCAGTCAGTACAACAATACAATCTGTCAGGATGTATATCTCTGTAAATACATCGAGATTAAGGGAACTGTTGTTGTATTGCAAGTAACTCTTCATTTAAAAAAAATTGGCATGCCTGTTTATCAAGCCTCAGGAAAAAAAAACATTTATGATGATTTGGGAAGAAAAAAATGAAAATAAGATATCAAAAGGCATTTTTTTTCATTTTTTTCATACTTTCAAAGAATAAAACCCTATAAAAAAAACATATATTTTCTGAAAAAAAAAGATTTTCAAAATGTGGATAAAAGGTTGCAGGCAGAGAAAACATTCAAACATACTAGAAAGAGATCTTATGAAAGTTTTGAATAATTATTATAATTATTATTAGCAGACAACTCATTATTTTAGTCAGGTGGAATTTTGCCAAATTTCCAATTCTTAACAAAATGCTACATTTATTATCAATAAACTGTGGAACAATTGTCGTATTCCTTATACTTTATTTAAAGATGTTGACAAAAAATTGTAATTTGTAATGGTTAATTACTAGTATCTATATATATATACTTTGCTTGTACGTCAGTTTGTTTGTATCCAATAAACGTCACAACGGCTAAACCGATAGAGCCCAAAATTTTTATGGGACCTCACGTGACCCCAGGGAAGGTTTATGAATGATCAAAATTTCAAAAATTTTGTAAAATTTTGAAAATACACGAAAAAGTACTACGAAATCCGCAAACTTTTTTGTTGTTTTTGTTTTTATACTGTACAAAGAGAAGATGCTCACAGATAAAGCCACAATTAAAAGTTGAAAAAGAAGATGAACGCGAAAAGCCTAGTATTTAATTATTGCAGATTTCATTTTGGATCCTACTGAATGATTGTACTACCTTGTGGGACTGTGTACTTGACTGTGTACTACTCTATCCTCTGCAGTACACGGTTCACGGCATATAGGACACTGGGACACATGACATTAAACTTAGGTGAAGTCAAAATATATATTTAGGTACCCGTCATATATGCCAAGTAACTTCTGTTCACAATAAATTTTTAAAAACTATGATTTTTAAAGATTTTGGAGGGAAAATGAAAAATTGCACTTTAAAAGGCAAGTTTTTTCATTCTTTCCAATACTTATTAAAAATGCATAATATGGGGAGGGGGGGGGAAATGATTTTTCAGGGAACATTCACCCCTGAGAATGTCTTAACCGTGCAAAACTTTTAAAAGAGTCAATGATCAGACAGAATAAACAACTCCACCATTGTTCAAAGATTGAAGGTGGGGTGTAAACCTTAAAAAAAGCAATTGGAAATTAAGTTGACAGTTTTATTAGTTAAAAATAATCTTAGATGGAACCGAACTCTGCTTCAAGAAAAAATAATTTCCAAAATAAAAATAGGCATTAATGTTCCTTTGCTAGAGATTCAGATGGAACCCCGTTAGGTTCAGGTTCAAGAGGAACCTCAGGTTCAGTTTCAAAAGGAACTTCAGGTTTAAGATCACAAGGAACCCTTGGTCCAGGTTCCAAAGAAGGTTCCTGACAGTCATCACCATTCTTGGTCTTCAAGAGATTCATGTTTCTTAATCTTAATCGTCCTGCAAAATGAATCAATAAGCCAATAAATCAATCAATAGATCAATCAATAATTCAATCAGCCAATAAATCAATCAATCAATAAGCCAATAAATCAATCAGTAAATCAATCAATAATTCAATCAGCCAATAATCAATCAAGCAATAAGCCAATCAATTAGCCAATAAATAAATCAATAAAATTAAACAATCAATTGATCAATCACACAATTAATCAACCTTCACAAAATTGACATATTGTATTTAAAAAAAATACCAATAAATCAATCAACAAAAATCAATTAGTTGAATAAAATAATTTCCTAACCTTGTCTTCGATCTGAGGACATTCCGTCGGAGGAGGTCACTCTCTTGGAAGAAACGGAGGACACTCCCTTGGAAGAAACGGAAGACACTTCCTTAAAAGAATCGGAGGACACTCCCTTGGAAGAAGGGGAGGACACTTCCTTAGGAGAAGAGGAGGTCACTCCCTTTGGTGCAGTGGAGCACACTTCCTGAAGGTTTGTGGAAGGGAGCTGCATATCGGATGGACAACGTGTGATCGTAACCTTTTATGACCGAGGGTTAAATAAATTTTCTATTGGAATGTACATGAATATATACCAGGTACATAAACATTAACAACCTGTACAGTGTACATGAATGTATCTGGTACATAAACATCAACAACCTGTACAGTGTACATGAATATATTCCAGGTACATAAAAATCAACAACCTGTACAGTGTACGTAAAGTATATATAAAGATGCACCGAATTGATTGAGTTTGATCTAGGTCACTGAACTTAGAACTACCTAATGCTGGTTAAAATCCTGACTCACCGATGCTATGTTACAGATTCATCAGGATTTGAATCGGCTGTAGGTCCACGGACACATATTTTTGAAGTTTAATTTTTGTAGATAAGTCTAACTAATTTAAAATTTTACATGCATGACCTAAGCTTTAACCTAACCCATTTAAAGAACAAATACATTTATCTGTCGAAACAAGTCGGCCATTTTTAGGTCAGAAAACCTTTTCCTAAACACAGAACACAGTACACAACACAGAGCACATAGTAAATAGTACACAATACACAGCACAGAGAACACATTAAATAGTACACAGTATACAGCACAAAGAACACAATAAGTAGTACACAGTACACAGCACAGAGAACATAGTAAATAGTACACAGTACACAGCACAGAGAACACAATAAATAGTACACAGTACACAACACAGAGAACATAGTAAATAGTACACAGTACACAGCACAGAGAACACAATAAATAGTACACAGTACAATTCACGAAGTTTACATGCAGATAAAGGAAGTGTAAAGCAAAGCTTTACATTGTACATAGTACAAATTTCTCCATGAAGTGATTTTTCTTATAAAGACATAGAACAAAGATTTATTATTTATAAATGTTTATCATGATATAAGTTTAAGGGGTACATGTCACTTTACGTCTCCAGTTCCATTAACGCTAGAATAATTAAATCTAACCTATCAATCTGTTTACTGTTCAGCTGCGGAGCAAGAAGAGCATCAATATCAGGTTCTAGCCGTAGCACCTCAGCTACTACAGGGAAATGTAGTCCCAGCAAAACCTGAGCAAAAATTACAAATATTTGGAATTTAAAAAGTAATATGAATGTGTACGAATAAATGAATTCTGATTCAATACACTGTTGGTTTCCCATCAGCGACTACATTTCAAAGTTATCGACGCAGAATTTCTTCTGAAATTTTTGGCGGCTTCAGTCTTCCTCCCCCCGTACATCTTTGAAATAATCTCTGAATTGTTCAGCAGATTGACCCATCCAACATCTCAGAATAAACCCTTCAGTTGTTACCTTTAATTTCCCTCTCCTATTTAACATTTCAACTTTACTTACCAGGATCTTATATTTTATTATTTTTTACAGAGAGTATTTCCGGAAAGATGCAGTTGTATGTTGGAAACCTTGTAAACAAGGATGTCTTCAGAGACAATTAAGAATAGGCTATTTCACAATAAATTTCAAACTACAAATCTCTGTTAGCTTGCCCCCCAGGGGCCTTGGTCAATCCTAGCCGCACGACTAATTGAATTTGTCCTCTCCGTAGAAGCATTACCTTATGGCAACGAAAATGCATGCTATCACAGATAATACTAATATCGGCGGCCGCTCTCGTCCGAAATAACTCGGCCGCATAGTCGACCACTGAAGTGTCCGACGATCGGCGCTTAAAAGAAATCGTCTTCTCGTCCATTATATATAATTCGTCATTTCTGAAAATACAAAAAATGAAATATTTCAAGAATATTGTATTCAAATCTTCTTAGTATCCAATTTAGTCGAGGATCTATAATCAATATAAGATTTCTCTTTCAAACTTTTATTGAATAATATTACAGTAAAAATCTATATTTTTATAATAAAATGTAAATCAATATAAGATTAACTGTGGCCCCCTATACCTCCCTTATCCCATGTGTTCAGACGTTGCTCTGTCGCAAAACTTTTTTCAACAAAATATCCATATATGCTCTGGTAGAGAATTAAAGAAACAAAAGAATTTTTATCAAACTATTCCTTATTAACAATCAAAGTATTAACAAGATTTAATAATTTAAAATCTAANGGTCCAAAAATCCTTCTCTAGGACGGACCCAACATGTGAACTTAGATTAAAAAATTTAATTTAAATGTTCAAATTGATGATATAAATTCTAAAATTTTAAATCAGTTGTGTGATTAATTGGAAATCGATTTTTTTTCAGTTTCATGTTTTTTCAGAATAAAGTGCAACAAGTTATTTTCAATGGTGAAAAGTTGATCAAATTTTCATCAATCGGTAGGTTTTTAACAAGTTTAGGTTGAATTATTGGAATTTTATCCAAATTGCGTATTAACTAAGACATCATTGCGTAGTTACTACACGCGGTTAAATGTAACTTAAAACTTTTTTGAAAATATTTACGCAATTTCACATATTTTTAATTTTTAATGTTCAACAAATTTATAATTGTAATTTTTTTTTCTTTGAATTTTATGTGTAAAGGTATGGATATGATTGATGTATATATAGGTATGGATATGATGGATATGTAAAGGTATTGATATAATAGCTATATGTATAGGAATGTCTATGATGAATACATGTATAGGTATGTATATGATGAATATATGTATAGGTATGTCTATGATGGATATATGTATATGTATGGATAAAATGGATTTATTTATAGGTATGAATATGATAGATACATGTATATGTATAGGTATGGATATGATGGATATTATGGATATATGTATATGTATAGGTATAGGTATAGGTATGGATATAATGGCTATATGTATAGGTATGGATTTAATGGCTGTATGTATAGGTATGGATATGATGTATATTTGTATAGGTATTGATATGATCGATACATGTATAGGCATATGTATTATGGATATATGGAAAGGTATTGATATGATGGATATGTATAGGTATGGATATGATGGATATACGTATAGGTATGGATATGATGTATATATGTACGGGTATGTGTATGATGGATATTTGGAAAGGTATTGATATGATGGATATGTATAGGTATGGCTATGATGGATATATGTATAGGTATGGATATGATAGATATAGTATAGGTATGGATATGATGGGGATAGGTGGCCGGGCTGGTCTGGGTTGTCTAAGATGGGGCTTCTTATCTCTTATAATCTTATAATCTTAAAGGTATGGATATGATGGATATTACTGGAAAGGAGAAAGTCCACAAGCACTTCCTTGAGGACGAATCAGGTAATGGCAAAAATAAAACTAAAAGTTAAAAATTAAAAATTAAAAATTAAAAATTAATTCAAAAAATGTAGTGTTAAGTAATTTTGAAGGGATTTTAGACGTAATTTGTAGGGATCCTTCATTTACTGAGTTTCAAGTTCGATTCACAACGGTTTCCAGGAAAGGATTAATGTGATATTTAAATTGTTTTTGTTGAAAATTGACTATGTTCAATAGAGGTTTCTCAATACATGTGACATGTGCATTTAAGCATTTAAGACAATCATACAATGAAGGAATAAAGTAAATTTCAACACTTTCTTCGATAAAAAAAAATATTTTCTCATTACTGAGATTAATTTTTATCAAGGTATCGTTGTGAATAAGACATGTCACTCTATGATATAAAATAAATAAATCTTTAAATTCAAGATAATCTATAAATAGACAAATAAACAGATAAATTCAAGTAAATGATTAGTATCTCACATTCTGGAAGTGGGAACACTTACTTTTGAGATGAGGATGAAAATCTGTTCCTAAATAATTGATATTTTAAGATGATATAAATCTATTTTTCATTTAGAAGAAGATCAAGATAATATTATGGAAAGTATGCATTATAGAGTTAGCAACCAACAGAACGAGGTGACAAACAACTTTTTTTTCATGAGTTTTCTAGTTATACATTTTTGACGATTTTTGGGATTTTTTTACGTTTTTTTTTCTAACTTAAATTATTAGAATCCATTTTAAAATATTTAAATATATAGAGATGTCTTCTCTCTGCTCGCACTTCTGCAAACACTGATCCTATTCTTGTGACAACCCATTGATTTTTATGGATTATAATTTTTAATTTTAATTTTAATCATCATCATGTCATTTTCTTAGCAAAATTTGAAACGACATCCGAGTAAGCGCCGATTTTTTTACTTTCCATTCCATGTTATCTCTGTTGATGGAGTAAATAATGTTGTTTATGATTAGGTTCCATTCTGTGTTATCTCTGTTGATGGAGTAAATAATGTTGTTTATGATTAGGTTCCATTCCATGTTATCTCTGTTGATGGAGTAAATAATGTTGTCTATGATTAGGTTCCATTCCGTATTATCTCTGTTGATGGAGTAAATAATGTTGTCTATGATTAGGTTCCATTCAGTGTTATCTCGGATTCTGATGGAGTTAATAATGTTGTCTATGATTAGGTTCCATTCCATGTTATCTCTGTTTTTGGAGTTAATGATGTTGGTTATGATTAGGTCCCATTCCATGTTTTCTCTGTTGATGGAGTTAAATAATATTGTCTATGATTAGGTTCCATTCCGTGTTATCTCTGATTTTGATGGAGTAAATAATGTTGTCTTTGATTAGGTTCCATTCCGTGTTATCTCTGATTCTGATGGAGTTAAATAATGTTGTCTATGATTAGGTTCCATTCCGTGTTATCTCTGTTGATGGAGTTAAATAATGTTGTTTATGATTAGGTTCCATTCCATGCTATCTCTGTTGATGGAGTAAATAATGTTGTCTATGATTAGGTTCCATTCCGTGTTATCTCTGATTCTAAAGGAGTTAAATAATGTTGTCTATGATTAGGTTCCATTCCGTGTTATCTCTGTTGATGGAGTTAAATAATGTTGTTTATGATTAGGTCCCATTCCATGTTATCTCTGTTGATGGAGTTAAATAATGTTGTTTATGATTAGGTTCCATTCCATGTTATCTCTGTTGATGGAGTTAAATAATGTTGTCTATGATTAGGTTCCATTCCGTGTTATCTCGGATTCTGATGGAGTAAATAATTCACACACTATCACAACCAATGTCCAGGTATAACGTTTTCAGACATTAAAACAATTAAAAAGTACTTTTATTTAAGTTTGCGAATGAGGATGGAAATTGCAAAGGACTCTCAATTTTTAGAGAAGAATGTCTGCTTTACAACAGTACTCGTTTAACGTGATTTGCGCATTTTAAGAAATTAACAATAATCAATACTTTTTAAGATAGGAAACGACGATTAACCAGATTGTTATGTTGTGAATAGGACATGTCCTCCATTAATTATGTCTTTAGTTCCTTTTTACTTCTAAAGATAAAGTGCATACATCAACTACAGAAATCAAATACAATGAGAACTAGAAAACTCGGGAATATGAAGTTGACTTTCGGACTCAAGTTATGGCTTTAAATAAACCAATGAACATGAGACACAGAAATTGTGCAGTTTAAACAGATCCATTTAACTTAATAGCTAAGTAATATAATAAAACTATTTTCTTTTCACAGTTTTCTGGTTCTAACTGTAGAGAAAAATTCCTCAGTAATTTATATAATTACCACAATTAACACAAGCTGTAATACTATATCTCAAACTTGATTTAGAAACCTCTTTTTGAGATTGAGATATGGGAAGTATTGAGTCCTGAGAACAGTGATTGTTTGACTGTTTGATTAATTGATTGATTAATTTAAGGCTGTGCTAGCTAGTCCTCTGAACGGTCAGTTCTACGTGATTGGTTCCCCCTCCGATGTGCTCGGAGCTGTCGGTCAGAGACAGATCGTCCCGAGATCGTTCAACGAGCAGCCAGTCAGCTCAGCTAAAGAAGAAAGACAAGGGTAAGAGATTTAATTGTGTTTAGATAGAGACAATATTCCTATTATCATTAATCATTATTATTATTATTATTAATATTATTGTTGTTGTTATTGTTGTTATTGTTATTGTTCTTGTTATTGTTATTATCATTGTTATCGTTATTTTTATTGTTGTTGTTTTTGCTGATGCTGATGCTATTTTGCTTTTGCGCTATTGCTATTGCGTTATTGTTATTGCTATTGAGCCATTGCTATAGCGCTATTGCTATTGCGCTATTGCTGTTGCACTATTGCTATTGCGCTATTGCTATTGCGCTATTGGTATTGCGCTATTGGTATAGCACTATTGCTATTGCGCTATTGGTATTTCGCTATTGCTATTGCTCTAATGCTAATGCTAATGCTAACGTTAACGATAACGCTAACACTAACACTAATGTTTAGAAACCGTCGAGCTACCCATAACGAGGTAGAGAGGAGAAGAAGAGATAATATAAATAATTGGATTATGAAACTTGGTAAACTTATTCCACCAGAGTGCGAATTTATCATATGCAAAATAGTTTATACATAAATTCGAATAACTAGAGTTTAAAGTAATTTTCAGACATGTACACAACAAATATCAAAGCATATTAAAACATATCTAATTAGTTATATAGTAATCTTATATCTGTAAAAACAAAAATAATTATTATTTGACGAAAACAATGAATTCAGTGAAAATGATTTTAAAATGGTTTTATTTATTGCAGGGGAAGCAGGCCCAGTCTAAGGGTGGAATCTTGGCAAAAGCTTGCGAATATTTAGCAGAAACTAGGTATTCAATATTTTATGGATATTTAGCGAATATTTAGCAGAAACCAGTTATTCAATATTTTATGGATATTTGCGAATATTTAGCAGAAACCAGGTATTCAATATTTTATGGAAATTTAGCGAATATCTTGCAGAAACCAGGTATTCAATATTTTATGGATATTTAGCGAATATCTTGCAGAAACCAGGTATTCAATATTTTATGGCTATTTGCGAATATTTAGCAGAAACCATGTATTCAATATGTTATGGATATTTGCGAATATCTTGCAGAAACCATGTATTCAATATTTCATGGATATTTGCGAATATCTTGCGGAAACCAGGTATTCAATATTTTATGGAAATTTGCGAATATTTAGCAGAAACCAGGTATTCAATATTTTATGGAAATTTGCGAATATTTAGCAGAAACCAGGTATTCAATATTTTATGGATATTTGCGAATATTTAGCAGAAACCAGGTTTTCAATATGTTATGGAAATTTGCGAATATTTAGCAGAAACCAGGTATTCAATATTTTATGGATATTTGCGAATATTTAGCAGAAACCAGGTATTCAATATTTCATGGTTATTTAGCGAATATATTGCAGAAACCAGGTATTCAATATTTCATGGTTATTTAGCGAATATCTTGCGGAAACCAGGTATTCAATATTTTATGGTTATTTAACGAATATCTTGCAGAAACCAGGTATTCTATATTTCATGGTTATTTAGCGAATATCTTGCAGAAACCAATGAATGTAAGGCAAGGAAAGTCATTTCAGTGGTGTACGCATTTTTTGTACTGCAGTGTACTGTCTTTGGGTTCTAATATAAACACAAGAGTAGGGGTGTCACAGCCTGACATGGGATCCATCTTTCAAATAAAAAATCAATGATTTATTCTGGTCATAGGAATTTATAACATAAATTATCAAATTCAATATTTTATGGATATTTAGCGAATATCTTGCAGAAACCATGTATTCAATATTTCATAGTTATTTAGCGAATATATTGCAGAAACCACGTATTCAATATTTCATGGTTATTTAGCGAATATATTGCAGAAACCAGGTATTCAATATTTTATGGTTATTTAGCGAATATCTTGCAGAAACCATGTATTCAATAGTCGGGAACTTTTTGCGGTTTTGCTAATCTTTGAAGAAAAAATTATAAATAAAACTTGTCCATGATGTTTTATTTTTTTATAACTTTTCCCCAAAAATAGAGTCTGGGAAGAAATCATCATTACTGCAGTTCTATTGGATACCTCCTTTCATTGGAAAAACCCCACAAACGTCTCGTTGGATACCCCCAANTTTATACCTTTATCTGATCAATAATGTAGAAGAAAATGTCGTTTTTCTAGGGTTAATATTGTTCATTTTTGACAATTCCTATATGTTTTCCAGCATTTGAAATGCGCGAGGCACCGAAGGAAAATAACCTGTTTTCAAAATTACAAACATTGCTATCGTATTCATATTTGATCAGGCAAAGCTTTTAAGGATGCCGTTGTAAATCGGGAATTGTAATCTTTGCATCTGAATTTTTAATCCAGGAACGCTAACGATCGGTTGCGCGATTCTCTAAAGAATGCCGCGGAATTAACTACAGAGAACGAACGGTTAAACACTGAACTACAACGCCTACAGGTAATTAATCAATCAATTAGTCAGCCACTTATCATTCAATCAATCAATAAATTAAACAGTTCATTTTTCTGTTTTTTCTCCAGAATCCAGGGAAAACACGGTTACAAAAAATTTTATATATTTTTTATTAATATATTTATATAACAAAAAAACTTTTTTAATGTATCTATGTAACAAACAAAGATTTATTTTGCAAAAATACATCTTGTTATAAATGTTATGAAAAATCACTTTGTTACAAAAAAGAACTTGTTATTAAAGGAACTTGTTATTAAAGGAACTTGTTACAAAAAAGAACTTGCTATTAAAGGAACTTGTTACAAAAAAGAACTTGTTATTAAAGGAACTGTTAGCGTAAATTCAAGTGACTCTCCATTCAAATATGGCCGAGTTACAACGGTACTCTTAAAAGTGTTTTCTAATCAATTATTAATTAGATATCCATGTTATTATTTATTAAAACTGTTAATTTTCATTTGTAGTTTCTCTGCTTAAGTGACTTGTGCAATGTACATTTCTTGCTTATAAAAAATTAACGGAGAAAGTATCAGAGATAAATACTTTTCGAAACAGAGCAATAACAATATCTTCCACATTTTTGATCAGATTAAGGTTTCAAGGGTACCGTTGTAAATCGGGCGTTGAAATCTTGACATCTTGAAATTACGCTTACAGTCCCTTTTATATATTTTTATGTTACAGAGAGAGAACGCAGTGTTACAACAGCAGATCCAACGGTCCCACCTGAAAGCCGAACTAGACTTCAATATGTGACCTAACGTAGATCTGACACATAGTCTTGACCTTCAAGGTCATGACCTTCCAGCTGGTGACCTTCAAGGTCATGACCTTCCAGCTGATGACCTCTAAGTGTAAACATTCAAGTTCGTGTCCTCTAAGTACATGGTCTCTATGTTATGACATTTTCGTTCTTGATCAAAGGTTATGACCTCAAATGCCATGTTTTAAAGGTCATGACCAACGACCATGACCTCAAGGCTTCATGATTTCCCGGCTAAAGATCTTTCAGCACTTGAATTTCTCCCGATAGAGACTAAATTTGTCCAATCATAAAGGAACTCAGCCGAGCGCATGAAACAGAACTGTTCAGTACAGTACAGTACAGTACAGTACAGTACAGTACAGTACAGTACAGTACAGTACAGTACAGTTTGACTTTGTACTGTACTTTATATAACGTGTACATATGAATAATGTAGTTGACACTGGCTATGTTCTCTAAACATAAAATCAATAAGTTAAAAAACAATATTGTTGATTTTAAGTTTTTAAGTTTGTTTTTTAAAATTTTTACTTCCAAGTAGATTTATCTATATTCCATATTTTGGTTTTTTAATATTATGTCAGTCGGTCTCTCAGCCCAGTTTGAAAATAATTATGTTTTCACAGATTTAGGAAAAATTGACATTTAAATCATTTGTGTATTTTTGATTTGGAAAAGAAAAAGATAGTCCCCCCCTCCTTGTTTGATATCGTTGAAATGCCCAAATCTGATTCGGTCAAAAACTAAGAATTGATGTGTTTTTTTTGCATAATAATCTTTTTCTGAGTAAAGTATGAAATGTTGTGACAAAATTTAATGTTATGAACACTGTTTGAATTAATTCTAAGAATACGATAGATTTACCTGAAACTATTTTGTTAATAAATAATAAAATAATAGTTAAATATAACATACAAGATCACGGTAAATATAACATACAAGATCACGGTTATAATTCCCTATCAATATATTATCTATTTATAATGTTAAGATACGGGATAGGTAAATCTAACGAAAGTTCTTTAATCTGCCAATGTACCATTAATAGTTGTTGTAATTATCTTTCATAAGTAAAGCGCTTTAATGCGTAGGAATGCGTAAATTTAAAAGCGTAGGGGCCCTGGGACGTCTTCGTACGCAACATTCATTGTAAGTATTAATCGTAATAAATACATTTGAAAGATGTGGAGTTTTATTAAAAGAAGTATTTTTGCCGTTTTGAAACAACAATTATTTGTACAAAGAATTTTTTAAAGATGTGATGGAGCTGAATATTGATGGGCAATCATTTTTTTTAAATTTAGATTTTTGAATGTTGAAGGTTCCACCAAATATTCCTTATTTCAAAATTGTTTTTTCTAATTATTTACTTTTCTTCTACTATGCCAAATTTTGAACCTGATAAAAGATATTAAAAAAATCATACTCAACCGATTCAGAGGCCATTCCTTTCACCATAACAGTTGTCGACCACATGCCGTCTCTTAATTGTGGTCGTACAAATTATGTATCAGTTGTATTTAAATTAGAACAAAGATCAAATGCAACCTGTAATCTGTATCAAACTCATAATCCATCATAACATTCATATCCATCCTTTACATTGGTATCTAGATCGGATAAACAATTCGATTCAGAGGCCATTTCTTTCGCCATAACAGTTGTCGACCACATGCCGTCTCTTAATTGTGGTCGTAAAAATTATATATTATTCGTATTCAAATTAGAACAAAAATAATCGAATGCAAACTGTATCAAATTCATAATCCATCATACCATTCCTATCCATCCTTAACATTAGTATCCAGATCGGATAAACAATCAAACCCAACCTATATCAAATTCATAATCCATCATAACATTCGTATCCATCCTTTTTAACATTCGTATCCAACCTGTTATCACTAGCAATGCATTTGTATCCATCCTTTAACTCCAACCTATATCAACATTCGTAGCCATCCCTTTACATTCGTATCCATCCTTAACATTTGTATCCAAATTTAATAGGAAGTTTGGAATGGCTAAAAGGAAGTTTGGATTGGTTAATAGGAAGTTTGGATTGGCTAAAAGGAAGTTTGGATTGGTTAATAGGAAGTTTGGATTGGTTAATAGGAAGTTTGGATTGGTTAATAGGAAGTTTGATATTAACCAACAACAAAAATAAAAAGAATAGTTTTTAATAAATATATTTTTCGATTTAGAACTATTTAACAAATTAACAAGTTTTAATTTTTTTCCAAAATAAAAATGAATCCACAAAAATCGCAGGTTCGGGGTTTTCAATGTCTGTCTACCCTGAAAGAAAACAAATATTCAACAATTATATTTTTATGCAGTGTCTTGCTAAACATATTAGGATAAAGTGTGAATTAACTAAATATATTTTGATACAGGGTGTCCCACGAAGCATGACAGTAGCAAGATGACTTGAAAGTCGTCTTTGATCTTGGAATTTATTTTTGACATTCCGTCACTATTCAGTTACTACCACAAAATCCTCCTATCCTGTCATATCCAAAATGTGGTCTGCCTTTTTTGCGCTATTATTAATACTACCTGAGATATTAAGAATTTCGTTCAGATTAAAATTTTATTAAATAAAACTAAAATTTTCGAAATCTTAACACAATTCTTCCTCCGGTAATAATGAAAGCACAAAAAAGGCAGACCACATTTTGGAAATGCCAAGACTGGGTATTTTGTAATTATTTACTTTGAAAATGTACTCCTAAAATTATATTTACAAATGCCGCAAATTATTTCAAAAATCAAAGACGACCCTAAATTTGTTTTGCTCCTGTCAGGTTTGTTCATTTGTCAAAACAAGACATGATTTTTTTTGAAAATAGATGAAAAACCCCTCTACTACGTTTTGATAGTTAAAAATGTAAAAAAGTCTTTACTAATATACTCTTTACTAATATACTTAACCCTATTCCCGCTGGGGGGGGTCAATTTGACCCCCCCCTGTAGTTTTTTTTACATAACTCAAAAAGCATTGGTCTGAGGCTGTTGAAATTTTTTGACTTTTCTTACATACCCAAAGCCCTCCCTTTAGGCCTAAAACCGGGCTTTAATACTAACTGCCTGAGTCCTCAGGCACACTGCCTGAATGACTGCTTTTGTAATGCCGCAAATTATTTCAAATATTAAAGACGACCTTAAATTTGTTTTGCTCCTGTCAGGTTTAATCATTTGTCAAAACAAGACATGATTTTTTTTGAAAATAGATGAAAAACCCCTGTACTACGTTTTGATAGTTAAAAAATGTAAAGAAGTCTTTACTAATATACTCTTTACTAATTTACTAAAATTAGTACCTCTTAACATTTGTTTAATACTTATGAAATATTGGAAGACAGGCTTGAATGAACTGTGCACGAAGTAAAGGACCCTCAATTTGAAAGTGATAATGACCGATTCACTACGGTGCTTTTTAATCTGTTATCTAAGTAACGATGAAGAAAGATATCATCAGTTAAATTCTGCCAATTTTCTTATTTTTCTCTGCAGCCATTGGTTTTTAAGGGTACTGTTGTGAATCGTAAATATCTTATCATTTAAGTGTGTTATATAACATCAAATTTTTTCGAAGAATAGGTCCTTTAACATTAGCAGCTTGACGAATTCGATAAATAGGTCCTACAACTTTAGCAGCTTGACGAATTCGATAAATAGGTCCTACAACTTTAGCAGCTTGACGAATTCGAAAAATAGGTCCTATAACTTTAGCAGCTTGATGAATTCGAATAATAGGTCCTATAACTTTAGAAGCTTGATGAATTCGAATAATAGGTCCTTTAACTTTAGAAGCTTGATGAATTCGAATAATAGGTCCTATAACTTTAGCAGCTTGATGAATTCGAATAATAGGTCCTATAACTTTAGCAGCTTGATGAATTCGAATAATATGTCCTATAACTTTAGAAGCTTGATGAATTCGAATAATAGGTCCTATAACTTTAGCAGCTTGATGAATTCGAATAATAGGTCCTATAACTTTAGCAGCTTGATGAATTCGAATAATAGGTCCTATAACTTTAGCAGCTTGATGAATTCGAATAATAGGTCCTATAACTTTAGCAGCTTGATGAATTCGAATAATAGGTCCTATAACTTTAGCAGCTTGATGAATTCGAATAATAGGTCCTATAACTTTAGCAGCTTGATGAATTCGAATAATAGGTCCTATAACTTTAGCAGCTTGATGAATTCGAATAATAGGTCCTATAACTTTAGCAGCTTGATGAATTCGAATAATAGGTCCTATAACTTTAGCAGCTTGATGAATTCGAATAATAGGTCCTATAACTTTAGCAGCTTGATGAATTCGAATAATAGGTCCTATAACTTTAGCAGCTTGATGAATTCGAATAATAGGTCCTATAACTTTAGCAGCTTGATGAATTCGAATAATAGGTCCTATAACTTTAGCAGCTTGATGAATTCGAATAATAGGTCCTATAACTTTAGCAGCTTGATGAATTCGAATAATAGGTCCTATAACTTTAGCAGCTTGATGAATTCGAAAAACAGGTCCTATAACTTTAGCAGCTTAATGAATTCGAAAAACAGGTCCTATAACTTTAGCAGCTTGATGAATTCGAACAACAGGTTCTATGTAACTTTAGCAGCTTGACGAATTCGAATAATAGGTCCTACAACTTTAGCAGCTTTTTGAATTCGAAAAATAGGTCCTACAACTTTAGCAGCTTGATAAATTCGAATAATAGGTCCTATAACTTTAGAAGCTTGATGAATTCGAATAATATGTCCTATAACTTTAGAAGCTTGATGAATTCGAAAAACAGGTCCTATAACTTTAGTAGCTTGATAAATTCGAATAATAGGTCCTATAACTTTAGCAGCTTGATAAATTCGATTAATAGGTCCTATAGCTTTAGAAGCTTGATGAATTCGAATAATAGGTCCTATAGCTTTAGAAGCTTGATGAATTCGAATAACATGTCCTATAACTTTAGCAGCTTCATAAATTCGAATAATAGGTCCTATAACTTTAGCAGCTTGATGAATTCGAATAATAGGTCCTATAACTTTAGAAGCTTGATGAATTCAAAAAACAGGTCCTATAACTTTAGCCGCTTGATGAATTCGAAAATTATTCTAAATGTGGATATAACGACCTTCTTGTTGCAAATGAGTTATTTGTAAAGAGACTTTAAGCGTAATTTTAAGTGACCATTCAAGCAAAGTTGACAAGGCACGATTTACAACAGTAACCTTAAAAGCTTTGTCTGATCAAGTATGAATTAGATCTCCATGTTTTTGTTTCTTAAACTGTTTATTTTCTTTCAAAGGTGAGAAGCACTTTTTTTGCTTTGAAGAAGCAATGGAGAAAGTAACGACGATATCTTCCACATTTTGATCAGATTAAAGTTTTAAGGGTACCGTTGTAAATGGGTACCGTTGTAAATCGAGCATTGATGCCTGATTTACAACGGTACCCTAACTGCCTGGTTTGATCAAGTATGAATAAGAAATCTAAGTTTTAAAAATGTTTATTTTTATTTGCGGTAACTCTGCGACTTTCTTGCTTATAAGAAGCAATGCGGAGATTAACAGAATTAATTCTTTTTGAAAAACTACGTTATCTTTCACATTTTTGATCAGATTAAAGTTTCAAGGGTATCATTGTAAATCATGCACAATCATCTTTGCATAAAGAGTCGCTTGAAATTACGCTTACACTCCCTTAAACAAAAACCTTCGAATTATTTATAGCTTTAAAAAATGTAGACTAACCTTACATTCCTCACTATCTATTTATGAATGCTGTGGGGTCTAGAGCGTGGTCTGCTACTGCTACGGGAGCGTGAGCGCGCTCCTAACCTAAAAATATGAATTTTGAAACATTGAAGTATTTCTTTAAATAATGTTAAGCTTTGAATGAAATTGGTTAGAAAATTTTCTTTAAAAATTTGAGAGTTTGTTTGTTGTTATTAATAAATGTTGACAGAAGCTAAAATCTAAAAATATCTGTAAAAACATCTAAATCTAGGAAAAAAACATTAAACTAAATCATCTCTATGTGAACTTGGTCTGGTATCTTACCACTGTTTCCCTATTATTCTATTCTATTTTTACAACACTGTTGATTGTTGAGGTCCTTTATCAACTGTCTTGAAGACCAGAACTTGGATCAGAAAGACATCAACCAAACATGAACTTGTGGTCCTTTTTACCTGTTGGACATATTGTCTAGGGTACTTCGCAAGCTTTCAACATGCTCCATAAGTTCGAGACTCAGCTTTTGAGTTCCCTCCTCCAGTCGTTTACCAGTCTTTGGCGGCTCAACTTCATGTAGCTCTAAATTTAGAGTTACAGATCCTTAGGGGTAGTTAAGAAATTTAATAAAAGACTTTCTAATTGAACAAGTTTTTCCAAAACTTTTGTAAAATAAAAAAAGATAATTGCTCTTAAGTAATATCTGAAGGAAATGTCCTCATCGTTCTACCCGTCTTTTTGTACCTGAAAAGCCTCCTTCAAAATTCACACTTGGGTACGGATTGTCATCATCATCCATTTCCTGGTCATCATCACAGATAAGTGTATCTGCACAGGATACCAGACTCTCAATTAGACTGTCTGCCATGGTGTTATCATCATCCTCTGTTCCTATGAGGGTCCTACTGCCAGTTGTAAGAGTTTCACGGCAGGTCTGGAACATCTGAGATTCTTCATAAATAGTTCTGTCATACTCTTTTACTCTTCCATACCTGGCTGGTGCTGGAGGAGCAGGCAAGGGCCGAGACTGAACTTCATTCTTAGTTACCTGAATGTTTCCATTCATGGCTTCAAGAGTAAGGACGCCCTTGATGGGAGAAGGGGATCCGTCTACTTCTTCAGATTGTTGAGACTCAACAGACACAGACTTCTGTGGACTTCTCTTTGGGGGTAGAGGTGGGGGAGTTTCAAACATCTCTGTGGCACTTTCTTCCTTTTCTTCGTTACTTCTTCTATTTCTAGATTCGGGTTTCTTTTTCTTGTTTCTTGTGTTTCTTTCAGGTGTTCCTTTGACTTGAGAGGCTAGGCCAAAGTCTTCAGGATCAACATCTATTTGGGGTGATTCTGTCTTTTCTTTATTTATAACTTCATAGCTGTCTTCAATATTTGAGTATTCTTCCTCGTCCATTATGCTAGACTCATAAGGTCTAACACTTTCAGGGGGAGAAACTTGAAGACTGTTTGGCAAAGATGGGGAAGACTTCTTCCTTGGTGTTCTTGCAACCAACTGGAGAATATCTTTCATCCTTGGTAATGGTACATTTGGTAGAGTAATGATATTTCCTGGGATTGGTAATTCATTGAGATTTCTGATTTTTGAGAGCTCATGAATGCTCTTTTGTTGCTGTATTTGCTGTCTCTCCATGAGGACTTGGGGGTCCTCAATCTTAGTGGTGACAATGCAAGGTTGGGTCAGCATGCTGGGTAGTTTCAAATTTGGTGTAGATACACCATTTGTCAGACCCTCTTCATCCTTAACTCCATGAAGTCTATCCATAGATTTGTGATACCAGCGCTGAATCACATCAGGAACTGGAAAATCTTTGACAGATGCCATTTGTGCCAGTTCCTTTGTACTTTTTTCATTGATCAGTTGCATCCGGTGTTCCAGAATACTTACATCTTGCACACTTTTACTGACTAAAAAATATATTATGAAATTAAGAAAAATTATAAAAAAGTAAAAAACACAGGAAAATATAGCTACCTAGGAGTTCACAGTTTAGAGATTTCGGGAGAGTGGAATAAAATCCTGTTTTGGAATTAGAGTTTTGTTCTTCAGGATCTTGCAGGTGGCCGTTTGACATAAAATCAAGTTTTCCCAGGCTTTTAGATGAAAGTTTGCTTAAAAATCCAGGGACAGGGAAATCTCCAAATGAAGAAACCTTAGAGAGTTCGGCAACACTTTTACTTTCAACTAGAGATCTTCTGGAGAACAAAACATCTGGATCCTCAAATTTTGATGTGACAAGTAGTTGTTTTTCCCGGAGAGACCTTGGCAATGTGCCCTGAAGAGAAAGGGATTGTGTTGACTGGCTTTTCATTTGCTGTTTAAAAAGTTTCTTTCTTTCAACAGCCGAGGCATAGTCTCGTTTTGCTAGGCGGGTAAGTGTGCTGGGTACAGGGATATCAGAAACTGATTTAATTTCTGAGAGTTCACTCACAGATTTAGATTTAATTGTTTCAGATCGTTCATGAGCTAAGGTTTGATCTTCAGTTTTCACTCCAACAAGAAGGTTTGTTTTTAATGATGGTGGCAAGGTTGAGAATTTCTGGAGGAAACTGTTATTGCCATCTTCATCATTATGTTCTTCTTGATTTTCATTTTCAAAAAGCTTTTCAATTGTTCGTGGTACTGGGAAGTCCTTCAGACTGCTCATTTGTGAGAGCTCCACAGGTGATTTTGACCTGATAAGCTCTTGTCGAAGTTTTGATTCTTCATCTGTGATTACTCTGGATCTTACAATTACTTCATTTCTTAATGAGCTAGGCAAAGATTCATAAATGCTATCTTTGCATGATTTTTGTCTTGGAGGAACTGCAGGTGATTCTGATTGTTCAATGTCATTCAGTGATTTTGCTGTACTTCCCTTGAACTTTGGAAGTGTCAAATGCTGCAGCCTTGATGGAATAGGGAAGTCGCTCATATTTTTTATGCTTCCAAGTTCTGCTGGGGTATGGTTCTTTACTAGATTTTGACGGGACTGCAGCCTTTCTTGGTCTTTTTCAACTTTTATGTTTGTTATTAATTTGGTTTCTGTCAGAGATTCTGGTAATATTTTTCCGCTTGTTATCCTTGACAAACTTAGGCTACTAGATTTAATTTTTTCAGTGTCATCTTTCTTTTTCATTAGATTTTCAATCATTTCTGGAATGGGAAAATCATTGAATGAACTTATTTGGCTTAATTCTGCAATTGTCTTGGACTCAAGAAGTTCCTTGTGAAGTTTAACTACTTCTTCATCTTCAACCTTTGATGTAACTGCAAGGTTAATTTTAAGTGAGGCTGGGACTGAAAATTCAAATTCTTGGTCTTTCAGGGATTTGACATTCAACCCACTAGGAGTAGAACCTCCTCCCTTCTTCATCAATTTCTCAATCTTTGAGGGAATCGGTAAATCCCCAAGGCCAGAAATTGAAGACAACTCTTTAGGGGTTTTGGTTTTAACAATTTCTTGTCTTTTTCGTAGGGTATCATAATCATGGCATTCTTTTATATTGGTAATGAGCTTGGTTTCCATGAAACTTTCAGGCAATAGAAAATGCCCATGCTTTTCATTAGATTCATGATCTTCGTTACATTCTTTATTCTTTCCATTTTCCTTGGCAGAGTGCCCATTTTCAGCAGGCTTAGCTTGAAGATTTTTAAGCTTAAATTTGTCAGGAATTGGGAATTCTGTGATAGAATTTATTTGAGACAGCTGAGCAGGACTCATGGTCTTAGTTAATTCCATCCTCTTGACAAGAGTTTCATCATCGGCATCAGTTTCTACCACAGCAGTAATCAGTTTGGTTTCCCGCAGTGATCTTGTTAGGGTACCATATATGCTCTCAGATGCCAAATCACCATTGCTGGTTGCTTCCATGACTGCCACTGAATTTTCCATTTTATCTTCATGATGTTTCTTGAAGCTTGGCAGTGGAAAATCAGATAGTTTGGAAATTCTACTGAGCTCTGCAGGAGTTTTGCCCATGGTAACAGCTTGGTTAGTTTGCTGAACATGAGTAGACTGAACCTTAGATTTCACAATCAATGGTTGCTGGAAGCTTTTGTAGAAGGTGCTGTTCTGTAAAATACAATTTCATTTATTTAAAATATAAAAATACCAATAGATCTTAGAATTTTAACCATTTCAAATTAAAATCTAAATATTTAAGGTTGGTAAAATTGTACCTTTATTTCTTCAGGTGAAGGAAGAGAGAAGTTTTTCACAGCAGAGCTTAGCTTGTTTGCAAATGATTTGCGCTCAGGTCTATGTTCTGGTGATTCCACATCTTCCTCGCCTTCATACTCATCAGACTCACAACCATCAGCATACTCCGTCGTGTAAGTATTCAGCTCCTTGGTGGTTACAGTGCTGACATAAGTCAGAGTCGTATCTTCATTGGGTGGACGAGGTTTAAACGCCATGATTGCTGATCCAGTGAAGCTTCAGGGTGACATCAGCAGCAGAATTTGGTCTAAAATGTAAAAATATTTTACCAAATGTACAAGGAAAATGTGGACATTTAGGAATCTTTTGTGATTCCCAAGTGTTTGATTCCTAAACATGCAGAAAGCAGCCTGAGCCCCTGCCTTCACTATCCCGCCAGCTGGACAATAGCAAAGGAAAGCTGTCCTTTAAGTTCTTAAAAATGAAATCTGCATCAGGTGACCTTTCTCATGAAAACACTCAATGGAAATTAGAAAGGAGCCATGTTAAGACTGTCTCGTTGGACAGGGATATTTTACATGTAAGAACGTATAACATTTCACAGCTGAATTCCCTCTAGGAGTAAAAACACATGATGAACTGTCTATATAATCTAAAGAGGTCAAAATTTGAAAGCAAAAAGTACATTTTATAAACATTTGCACGTTAGGTTTGTTTTTATAACGGGTAAATCCGAACTTTTTGCTAAAATGATTGGGATTTTAGGCCATAATGAGCTATTACAAACAGTTCTAGCTAACACAGGAATAATTTATAAGAAAAAAAGCATTTTTAAACTAAACAAAAAGTGCATAACGTTGTAAAATGTGGTAATGGAAAAAGTGAACGATTTAATTTTTTAAAATTTTTATTCCTCCATTTACTAGAAATAAAAATGAATATCAGACAAGTGTCAAACTGCTACGACCTAACAAAATGATTTAAACTGACAATAAATAAAATAAAAACATTGAAAAATTTAACTGGAGAGAAGAAATAGGAATCAGGATAAAATAATAAAACTTTTCAAAGGATAAAAATATAAAAATAAAAAAAGTTGCAAATACATTATGATTTGTTACTTTTACAGGGCATCAATACTTATAAGACTTGTTGCCTTTAAACTGTAATAAAATATGTTTCTAAGATAATAAATTTTTTTTTTCTTAATCACCAGTGAACACTGAATGTTTGAAGCGTACCTTTAGGGGGATACAGTTAGACTAGGGATATTAGACATATTTGTAGCTTTAGGGGTCAAACAAGGGTCAGTTTTAGGGGTCAACTTAACCTTCAAGTTTTCAGGGTCAGTTTCCACCCCTCCTTACTTCCCCTTCCTCCCTCCCCTCCAATCTACTCGGGCAAGCAATCTCAAGTTCAGTGAAAATACATAATTACCACCTCACCCACCATCAGAATTCACATTTCAAGTTGACAATTAATATTTCCATTTACAAAAAACGTTTTTATTTTTTTTCGATCCATTCAGTAATGGTTGGTTAAATTAACAAATTTAACAAAACTTATCGATGCTTTTCCTTCTTAAAGGAACCGTAGATGTCATGTTAAGTGACCTTCCATTATTAAGAGGGAAGACCGATTTACCCCTAAAAGCTTTGTCTGAACAAGATTGCATGATAGATAAATTATCTTTTTTTTTGCAAGTTGATTATTTTCAATCGTGGTTTCTCTCTGCTTAAGAAACAACAGAATTAAATTTGTTTTAAACAAGGGCGTACACAGGGGGGGGGCAAGGGGGCCAGTGTCCCCTACACCTGTAAAGGGGGGTGTAGCCCTCCCCCCATGGAACTCAGAACTATAACACTTAAAATTAAATTGCTGTTTTTTTCTGCTAGTTTGCTTGAGGGTGAGATAAAATTGTACGTGTAAGGTAATTGGACTGTATGTGTACCATCAAAGTATCCAAGAAGCCAAATGTTTTGAATTTACAGTACAAATTTTGCCCCCCTCATAGGAGCTCCAAGGGAGGGGGGGGGGCAAAAAAAATTGGGGCTTCGCGTATATTTGGTCTCTCCCTATAGATTTATTTCTGTGCACGCCCTTGGTTTAAAGTAGAAAAATGACGATATCTTGATCAGTTAAAGTTTGAAAGAGAACCGTTGTGAATCAGGGTTGCCCCTTATAAAATGGAGGTCACTTGAAATTGCAATGACCGTCATTGACCACCAATAAAAGCTGTTTTGTTTAAACTTTCAACAAAATATATATTTTAGTTTAAGTTTAATCAGGGATAAAAACTAACCAAATAGTTTGTTATTAACGTAACGTAATTTCAAATGATCCTCCATTCACATTCACAGCAGTACTCTTAAAACTTTTATCTCATTGTTATTTTTAGGTTTAAAAGTGTTTAATTCTGATAATTTTCATAAGTTTTCCTGCAGTAGAAATAGGTACCGTTGTATCATAGATTCTGGAATAAATTTTTAGAATATATTTGATATATTTGACACTTGTGTACTTGTGTTTTGTGGACAAAAGTTGATTTATCATTTTTTAATTATAAACTAAAAATACAAAGCCAACAAGGCAAAATAAAACGTAGGAATTGAAACGTTATCATAAACCTTTAAAAAAGTGACTGTGAGATTATTTATTAGTTAAATCAATCACACATTTGATTAAAAAACATTTTGATTTTGATTTTGGTGGATAATCAGAATTTTTCAAAATTTTAATTTTCTTAGGATTTTTTTTATTTTGAACACTTTTTATCCACAAAAAAAGCTAGTTTCACACGAAGAGCTTTTTAGCAAAGGTTAAAAAATTAAAATGTTTCTTTTATTTGAAAATATTATTTTTGACCTTCTTGCAACTGTCTGCCTGCCTCAGTGTCACTGGCAGGCCGTTCAGGCAGGCAGGCCATACCTGCCTCCATCTATCTATCTATCTATATATTAATCCTTGGATCTATCTATCTAATAATCCTCGTAAGTATCTATTTATCTATCTATCTGATTTTTTAAGCATTAACCTCAATTATGCTGTTTTAATACAAATTATAAATTAAATGATAACATATTTTCTAAAAAAATTGTTTTTTAAGTTAATTGTTTTTGTTGGGATTAGTAAGAACCTGATTTGACCAGCTCAGCTAATAGCAGGTTAATAAAGGCTTCCTGTTTTGTTAAGTGTTATTAAATATTTTTTGCTTATTTTAATCTTTGCTAGAATTTTGCACTCAAGATATGACTAGAATTTCCATGTAAGGGACTGGTTCATTTTGTGTACAGTTCTGTTTTGCCTGGTAAAATCTGTGTGTACTGTACAGTGTACAGCTCCCTCTGGCTGGTCACGCACCTCTTACCCTTCAGTAAAAGTAAATTCAACCCAAAGTCTGACTGCGTCAACCTTGTTGCACCAGCTAGTCCTTTTGAGTGTCGAGCTTTATTTACCCAAAGTCCGGGCGATACAGTACAAACTGGGACTGGAAAGGTTGACCCGGCTCGGAAATTTAAATGTACTACGGCTGCCCGTGTGGTTAGATGTCTAGAAATGAACCGGACTTAACAGTTATATGTTCTTTACCTGGGCCTGATACAATACCGATATCTCCTATTGCCACATCACAGGGATAAGATTCACTTTTTCCACCTAGATATATATAATTTAATGGCTTTGAATATTAATTATTGATGCTTCTGTCAAAAACTTACCATAGCCACCTCCTAGAAGTACAGCAGTTGTTTCTGCAGAAACAGATCCCTTGAATAAATACCAATATAAATACAATTACAATAAACAACCTAACTTTAGATTACAAATAAAACAATATGAAAGGATGTAAAATAATTATTGAGTGAAATCATTTTCACAGTTTCTATAGATAAAGAATACTATTATGCCATTAAGTAACAGACTAACAGTGAGGTTTAAAATTCTTTTATTTTGAAAAGAAATAAATGTTTAAAAGGATTAGAATTGATATAAATCTTAAGATTTACCTTGCTACAGGAGGCCAGATATCCAGCAAAAAGAACAGATACAATCGAAGAAGTCATACCTTACAAACTGACTAGTTAACAAAATGAAGTAGATGGTTTTCAAATGGCTTTTCTGTTTATAAACTTTGTCTTCATCTATAATTTGCATTGAAAAGTTAAAGATAAATCATTAAATAGATTACCTTATCTTAGGTTTAGATATAAAGTTTTAAACTCTATAAAGTACAAATAAATTAATATACTTATTCAATCTTTTATACCGCTTAAACCTGAGATAATGCTTGAAAGCAAACATACACTTTGAACTCTAGAAAAACATAAAATATTATTTACATTTTAAAGGAATCAGTAACATCCACCTTCTCACTCATCCACACATAATCATTTACAGGATGTTACTTCCGTAGAGGTTATTGTTTGATACAGTGGGAGTCTATTATATCAATACAATGAAGACGACTTTTATTCAAGTTCTCAAATTTTCATCTAACAAAATTTGTTGGAGCACCGGACTCAAATACACCTTAGTAGAATCATTCGTCAAATTTTGTTGAATGTATTTTCAGTCGCCTTAATTCAAAGTNTAACTTTAATGATTTCACAATAACAAAAATATTTTAAGCTCCGTAGGACGGAGTACAAAGGGAATGTGGGCTGAAAATTTGGTTTGGCTTTCTCCGAGAGGAGATTCAAGTTGAAGATGACATTGTGCAGAGGTCTTAAAATTAATGGTTAACAAATATATATTAGAGTGGAATTTTTGAAATGGAATTTCCGGAGAAATATTCCTGAGAAATTCTTAGGAATTTCTTGAGAAAAATTCCTAAGAAATTCTCAGGAATTTCTCGAAACTTATTCTCTCATCTAATTTCTCAGGAATTTCCGGAGAAGCATTCCGGAGAATTTCTCAGGAATTTCTTGGTGTGAAATTCAGAGAAATTCCCAGGAATTTCTCGAAACTAATTCTTTTATCAAATTCCCCTTGAAATCCCTAAATATGGTGACCAAGTCCTAAGAATTTCTCAGGAATTTCCGGAGAAGTAGTCAAGAGAATTTCTCAGGAATTTCTTGGGGTGAAATTCCGGAGAAATTCCCAGGAATTTCTCGAAACTAATTCTCTTTATAAATTCCCCTAAAAATCCGTAAACATGGTGACAAAGTCCTAAGAATTTCTCAGGAATTTCCAGAGATTATTTCTGGAGAAATTATGAGGAATTTTGAGGGGAAAAATTCCGGAGAATTTCTCAGGAATTTCTCGAAACTGAGTTTCAAAACTGTGATCCCACAAAAATCTCTCATCTTCGGGACCAATTCTAGGGAATTTCTCGAGAATTTCCGAGGAATCAGTTACAGGAAATGATTTTCGAGAAATTCCTCAGAAATTCCTTAAAGAAAGTCACCACGGTTGGAGAATCTGGGGAAATTCCTCACTTTTGTTACTTGGGCTGCAGTGGCCTTGCTCATTGGACTATCTATAAAAAGTCATAAATTGTGTCAAACAAGCATCTTTGCTATTTCTATTTCATAGTTTCTATTTCTGATTATTCATATATGTAATTGGATGGAATTCTATTTCAGAGTTTCTATTTCTGATTATCCATATATGTAATTGGATGGATTTCTATTTAAGAGTTTCTATTTCTGATTATCCATATATGTAATTGGATTGATTATTTTTTCATTTTTAGTATTTCTGATTATCCATATATGTAATTGGATGGAATTCTATTTCTGATTATCCATATATGTAATTGGATGGATTTTTATTTCAGAGTTTCTATTTGTAATTATCCATATATGTAATTGGATGGATTTCTATTTCAGAGTTTCTATTTCTGATTGTTCATATGTAATTGGATGGATTTTTATTTTAGTTTCTATTTCTGATTATCCATATATGTAATTGGATGGAATTCTATTTCAGAGTTTCTATTTCTGATTATCCATATATGTAATTGGATTGATTATTATTTCATTGTTAGTATTTCTGATTATCCATATATGTAATTGGATGGATTTTTATTTCAGAGTTTCTATTTGTAATTATCCATATATGTAATTGGATTGATTATTATTTCAGAGTTTCTATTTCTGATTATCCATATATGTAAGTGGATGGATTTCTATTTCTCATATTTGTGCATGAAACAAAAACTAGATGATCCACGAGGGCACAAAGTCGGTCCATGGTAACGTTGTATATGTATATAATGTGTCAATCTCTCCAGAGTTGGAAGGTTTATAGAGGAGTTAATACTAGAAGTAACGAAAGTCAGTGATAGAGGGGAGAGGGGTAGTTAAGTGCATGGGGGGGGGTAGAGTTTCAAATATAATAGGGGTGGGGGTAATATGTAGATAAATAAACTGAGTTCTTGCCACGAACTCAAATGTTCTAATTCCTACATCTTGTCACCTGAATGGTGTAAACCTTTAATATTTCAAACTGAGACTATTTGATCTCACGTCGTTTAAATATTAAAGGTCTACGACATCGGGTATTTTGCAAAGGATTAAAAAATTAGAGTTTGTGGCATAAAATTGCTGTTGATTTAAATTGAACACTTCATCTCCGTATGTTAATTTATTCATTGTTACAATATTTTTAAGAACGATTTTTTATATGTTTTGGAACGATGTCATCATTCTCATGCGAATTCTACAAGGGGTGTAATCTGTCGTCTTTGTAATAAGGACAGAGATCAGGGACAGAAGGGAATCGGTGTTAGGTATAGATCATGTAGTGACATACAGTACAAAGGAAAATACGGGTTGCGGCATCTGTTTATATACAGTGTACACAGCTCAGAGCCCGAAATTTAAAAGAGTATCGTTGAACAAAATTATCGAGTTTCCTTTTTGGGGTCTTAACATTTTGTAGATTTTGATTTAAGAGATTCAACAAAAATGGAATTAAAAATGAAATTAAATGAAATAATATTTCATAACAAAAATATTGATATCCACAAAACTGCCATAACCCCATTCATGAAACCCGGGTTCCAAAACTGGTTTTCATAACGATACCCTGACTTAAGATTTGGGCTCTGGGGAGCCCGAAATTTAAAAGAGTATCGTTGAATGAAACTCCCGAGTTTCCTTTTTGGGGTCTTGACATTTGTGTAGATTTTGATTTAAGAGATTCGAAAAAAATGGAGAATATAAACAAAGTGAAATATAACTTGAGAACCCAGATTTTTCTGCAGTTTTTCCAATAAATGTCAACTCACTTAACCAGGATAAGAACATTCATGTGGTTCTAATAAGATCCTTAATCAAAATTTGAGGCAAATCGGTTCATAAGTCATGGTTGGACATTTAAACAAACAGAGATTACTACTTTATATATATCTATATATATATATATATTTATAGATACACTATGATTGGGTTAAACCATTGAAATTTATTTTAACATATTACATTAAATTATCAATCTCACTAGATAGAGATCCTGTATTATAGAACACATTTCTGATTTGGATTTTAAAACCATCTGAATTCCTCAAACTCTTATCGTCAAATCCCTGTCTTTGCAACCTGACGGTGTAAATCTTTGATGTTTCATGATAGGCATTTGGGTTTAAAGAAAATTAGAAAATTAGAGCTTGTCAATCATTTCCTAACATGGAATTCTGAAGATGTAAATGTGTTTTTATCATTGTTCTAATAAATTCTGCTGTCCAACACTTCCATTGTGAGGAAGTATCTCCCCCTGGTTAGCGTAGGGCCACTCCTCCAGTGACAGGACTTCTACAACATCTAGTTTTTCAAAACCATCAGCGCTTCCTCCAGCTGTCCATATTTCATTCTTAAACAAGCTGCATCCCAGTCCAAATCTTAACAAAGAAACACTAAACACTATAAACATTAAACATTATTTTAGAAAGTTCAAATGTCATTTTATTGTATTTTTATATTTTTAATGTAATCATCAAAAATATTAAAATGCATCAAAAAAGACGTTTACTTAGAAAGCAATGGTCTAAGTGAATGAAATTAAATAAATGCTTTGTTAAGTACACAGTTCATTATGAAGACGCTATAAGTAAGTGTGTAAAAAAATATTAGAAAAAAACATGAAAAAGAAAAAACAATCATATTTTAGTCTTCATATATGTTCAGATAGTTTACCTTGCCGTTGGCATGGATGGGAGCTTTGCAATGAAACCCTCTTCAATGCTGTAGATTTCTACTAAAGAAGATGGGGAAACTACTGTACACAGTCCAACGGCTGAAACATCTTGCCAAGGAGAAGAACTTTGATTCACAAAAGTCAAAAATTAGAAAAAAGTTAAACAAACTTGTTCTTTTTGCCAACCAATAAGTTTGTTCATGGTGATCATTATTTTGTTTAATAGATTCTTTAATACATTTCTTTATGAAACCATGTAAATTTTATTCATGAGAGAACAACAAAAATCAAAAAGAGTGACGTCCTTATTTGTTTTGTTGTGAGACAACATCTGTGACTTTTGAATCAACAAAATAAGTTAAAACCTTCCTCTCAGATCTGATTTAAATTTAAACTGCAAAATTACTCATATATCTTTTGTGAATTTCCGGGATTTGTTTGAAAAAGATTGTATTTAAGACAGATTTGAACTTATTTCGCCAATTCAAAAGTGTTCAACTTTAACAGTGAAAGTGACGTATCTTGCTGGGAACCATGCTTTTTTAGCCCAAAAATTACAATTTAAATTCTTCCAACTTATGCTATGAGATTTAACATATAATTACTAATTGACTTTTTGACAATATAATTATTTTGGCATATGTCGAAAAACCAATAGAAGGTTAAGAAATTTAAAATAAAATACATCAACAACATTTTTAGCATACAAAAACCGGGGGGTACCGCGCCCCCATGTCCCCCCATTTTGTAGGATGAAATGGAGGGAGAACTCGCATGCTTGGCTGCGTTAATAATTCTCAGTATTCTCGAACCCGTTTTTATATCAAAAGAGCCATTTTGGATGTTTTGCGTCATGTTTTTCAAATTGCTAAATATGCTAAATATTTTTTGAATATTTGAACTTTGCACAAGGAGTTAGAAAAACGACTTGACAAATGTACATTAATTGGTTTCTGCATTTATATTCATGCTTAAAAAGACGTCTACAAAAATCCCCCTCTTCTTTAAATGTTCATGTTAACCTTTATGTTCAATTATAAGGAGTCTGTACAATTCCCCTGTACATGCTGTCCATCAGCATTCTATACTCTACCTTTTCTCCGGAATTCTATCCTTTCTCCGGTCTGTTCCCGTAAAAGAATAATTGTTCCAATTATCGATGCCCCGCCCAAGGTACAGGGTACAGAGTATATAATTACATATTTATTTTTTTTTTGTACAAAATAATATGCTGTTTTATTCCCAAGAAGGATGAGACCATAGATTAGTTAACATTACAGATAGAACACTTGATGTCGTCTTTTTAAGATTTAGAGTTTTTTGTTCACAATAACCTTGAGGCCCAAAGAAGTTCCTCGCATGCTCCCTATCTGCCTCGGAACTCCTTATGGTTATTGTAAACGAAAACCCTTAAATCTTGAAAAAATGACATATGGTGTTCTATCTGTATTGTTAATTAATCTATGACACTAATCTCGTTCCTGAAACTCCTCACCAATGAGATGGACATAGTTTTTGTAAACGAAAGAAATTTTTACGAATGAACAAAATTTTTGTGAACAATGGTGTTGTTCAAATAAAAATCGAATGATGGACTACAAACTTGGATCGTTCAAAGAAATGAAAAAATGTTGTTTTCCAACCACATTTTTTAATAATACAAAGACTTTTTTAACTAAACGAAGTGAGAAAACGAACAAAATAGATGGAATGGAAAATGAACGATGATTTTGCGAACGAACAAAATCATTTATATTTCAACGAAAAAAGTGTCCAAATAACATTTTTTTCTGTTTTTCAACCAATTTTCCTTGTATTCAAATAAAATTCAATTGGATGTTTTTTATGTGATCCTTCTTTACATAAGAGATGTGCATCGATTTTGTGAGTGAACTAAATTGTTCATGAAAGATGGCGTCGTTCAGGAATTAAACCAAGGATGGACGAACGAATTGGATTGTTCAGAGAAATGAAAAACAATATTTTTTTTTAAACGAACGATCTTTTTTCGATCTTGATCGTTCATGAACAATTTCTAAATCTTTACATTTACAGTATAGTTCACAAGGGTACTATAATCAGCTTTGCATGATTTAGAATAATTGAATTATCCGTTTTTTTATTTTATTTGGAAAGCTGTTTATTTCAATGACAACTATCAAAGTGACAATTGCGGATTTCATCAGGAGAAACAATAGATGAATATCGTCAGAATTAAACTTTACTAACGCTTTAAAAACGACGCTAACTTCCACATTTTTAAAGTTAGCCGTTTGGAATCAAACATAAGTCCCTTTTAAAATAAAGGGTCACTTGAAATTTCAACAGCAGCCTCTTGTAAGAGCTCAAAATATCGGAACTTTTTATAAATCAATTAGATTCCTTTTTTTATTTAACCCTATCCCTGCTGGGGTACTTGAAATCCAGGATACGCTAATCCCANGGAAAGCTAGAATCTGGAAAAAAATTTGCTAGTTTTGTTTAGCAAAAAAATAAATGTCCAAAAGTTGATAAAATGTTTGTTTTTAAAAAGCCCTTGACCATGCCATTTCAAATATGAAAAAAATTGCAAAATTTTGTATAACGTAATTCAGAAAAAACTAAAATTGTGCAAATTCTTCTGACGGGTTGTATGCAAAAAAAACTTTTCTTTGCAAAACTTGTGCAATCCATTTTCCCCATGTCATAGGCTTTTCAGTAAGCTAAGAATTGTCAAAATCTAACTGAAAGAGGGTCAAAACAATGATTTAGTTTGTTACAGGAAAAATTGGTCTTTCAGGCAGTGTGCCTTGGGACTAAGGCAGAATAAAAGCTCGGTTTTATACCCAAAGGGGGGGGCTAAGGGGATTTTGGAAGAGTCAGACAATTTCAACAGCCTCAGGCCAATACTTTTTGAGTTATATAAAAAAAAGTACAGGGGGGCCAGCAGAATTAGGGTTAAGATTGGTGTCAGTTTTTACTATTAGTATTTATGTTTGCTAGAAATAGTGCGAAATATATATCTTTTTACGCTGGACATCCATCAAGAAATTGAACAACTAAAAAGTTGACTCATCAAGAAAAATAATCTCACACTTTATAATTCGGCCGTAGAGGAATTGAGTCTTTGCCGCAAACTCTGATTTAAAATTCCCTTATCTTTGCAACACAATGTCACTGACCTTAGATATTTCAAACTAGAGTTAAGATAGATCGGAAGTCGTAACCCGAAATTCCGGTGGAAACTCCAGTCATACTGACGGCAACAAGTGTTGGTTGGATTCACTACCCTGAATCTATCTATTTGTCACATCACTACCCTGAATCTATCTATTTCTATTTTATCACTTTTATTTTCCAAAAATATCAACATAACTTTTCCAAACATATAAACAAATAAATTTTCAAAATATCAGAAAAAAACCTTTGGAATAAAGGTTTCACGATTTTTTAAATTTTTTCCGAATCCAAGGGACAATCAGCATTCAACAAGGAGCAAAAATATTTGAGTTTTGAGCAAGTTTTTTCAAGATTTTTGCATTTTACTATCAATTTCTTCTGCTTACATATATTTACTTTTTCCTTAAATCAATCATAGAATTTTCAGAATGAACATTAATGAATTTTCAGAATGTAGGCTGATTGGTCATTACATGATATGATCAATTAAAAATATTCATAATTGAAGTTTTTCCACCAATTCTTAAAATAATTATAATAATAATAATAATCATAATAATAATAATCATCATATGTACATAGAACTGATTAAGTTCATTGCCCCCAAGAAGCGGGGAAATGATGCATGTTAAATACAATCTAGTGTAGAAAACATAAGGCCAAGTGAATCTCAGGGTATACTGAACCCGGAGTATGGACAGCCTGACAATAAACTTCAGAGAGCATCGAACCAGTCCTTATCTGGAGAAATAGGGGAGTTTAATATGATGCCGGAGAAAGAGACATTAATTATCGGCGGAGAAAGCAATGTTATCAGTCATCTTATACCCCTGAGGATGGCAGTTAGGACGAAGTATCTGAAGAGAGCAGTCATATATTCGCCCTTAGGAAATTGTCATGTTTAATTAAATCAAATTGATCCAACACTATTTGTTTGTATAGTTGTAATGTACATATGTGTGTGTACAACCATGTTTTGTTATTCCACTCAATCTTGGCTTTTTAATACTGAATTCTTATCAAGTCTATAATAATCATAATAATTTTAGTAATAAAAGTGACAACAATCATGATAATCCTCTCACCTGTAAAGGATGAAGAGGACTCCCCGAAATTGATTTCAATCTCTAAAATATACTCTATAAATGATGATTTTTAATGTACATTATACTAGTTAAAGGGGAATTTTAAAAAAAATGGAAAAAAAGAATTTCGATTGAAGATTGTAGATATACAGATTTTCTGCCTGTTTGTCTGTTTATATCCAATAAACATAAAAAACGCAGCTAAACCGACCACAAACAGATACTAAAATTGGTATTATTGGTATTAGAAATGTCTAGTCAATATATGTTTCTGTTTGTTTTTGTATCTAATAAACGTCAATTTTTTTGTGGCAACTCACATGACCCAAAAAGGTTTAAGTATGACCAATTTGAAAGATTTGGCCCAAAACAAATGTTGACATTTTGTTGGGTTTGACAAGGCTACACATTTTGTTTTCTGAACCAAATGACAGTTACATAAGTTACTAGAAAAAAGGTGAGTATAATTTATTAAATAACTTATAATTATTATCTAAAATAAAAACTTTAAAAAAAATTGAACAAAAAAATGTCCAGCAAAAAAGAAAAATAGTTTAGCGAAATAAGAAATACGAAAATTTCGCGAAATAAGAAATGCAAAAATTTCGCGAAAAATAATGCGGAAATTTCACGAAAAAACTCGAAATTTAAAAAAAAAAAGCAAAACGTTTGCGAAAATTCATCAAAAAAGACTACAGCTTCAAAACAAATTGTTTTCGCGAAATGGGATATTTATTTCTCGCGAAATTTCACTTTTTCGCAAAAAATGCGATGTTTGGCGAAAAAATTTGCGAAATACGACAGAAATTTTTCATATTTTTTCGCAGAACGTTTCCTTCACTGGAAACCCTAATCATAGCTAAAAACAAATAATGATTTGCTGAAATATTGATCGAGAAGATGATTTATAAATTATTAGAAACAATTTTGTAGGACACTTTAATCCTGATAAAAACATATTTGATACCTTGACTTTCCTTCCAGTCATCCCCATACACTTTCATCCTCATCTTGTTGTAGAAACATACCTAGCATGTAAAATATATAGCCCCGAGATAACTCAACTCAAAGTCTAATTAGAATCTAACTGACTCTATCTCTAGCCAAAACTCAAGGCTTTCAATCTCTAGCCAAAACTCAAGGCTCTGTACACGTCCGTGTTAATCAACAATTCGTATGGAACTACTTTATTTAATATACAGGTGAAATTAAACTGACCGTAATGGCCAGTCAGGGTCAACATGAAACATGATAAGATAGATAAACGGACATAGATAATAAAGATATTAATAGCATGATTACATAATTCATTACAAGCATACAATATTATTTTGTAGAAACATACCTAGCATACAATATTATCCTGTAGAAACATACTTAGCATATTATATTATCTTATAGGAACATACTTAGCATATTATATTATCTTGTAGAAACATACCTAATATATTATAATCTTATAGAAACATACCTAGCATATTAAATTATCGTGTAGAAACATACCTACTACCTACAGTGATAACCAGAAAACTCTAAAATAGGAAGACGACTGTATAGCAATACTTAAATGTATTTGATGTTGTTACATATCAAATAGTTTTACTAGACACTTCTTAAATCCCAAATTAAGTGGAATGGGTCTGTATATACTGCACAATTGCAGTGTTCCCTGCATATTGGACTATATTCATAAATTGAGTCTAAAAGTCGTCTTCCTATTCCAGAGTTTTCTGGTTATCACTGTAGCGTACAATATTTTCTTGTAGAAACATACCTAGTATACAATATTTTATTGTAGAAACATAACTAGCACATTTGTAGACGACCATAAACCCTTATGAACTTTCTTCGTGTAATGTCGTCTGCAAATCATATCCCCGGAGCCAAACCCAACATTCTCCGATAAACAGACAAAACTCCGGGAAAAGTGAACCACGTTTTAATATAGTTAATGCTTAAAGCTATGATTATTGCAGTATTGCGAAAATTTTGTCGAAAATGCATCAAAGTTCGAGAAATTTATTCTATTTTCGTTTCTGAATTTTAAAGAAAGTTTTTTACCTCTAGTATTTCAGGTTTTCCCTGAAAGATGACCTCCTTCGCAAAGTAGATTCTGTCCTGTACCTGTTCGACCATCTCGAATTTCAAACCTTCAAGGAAGAAAAAAATATTAAATAAAAGAAATTAAAATTACGAAGAGTAACTATCTATGATTCCCCAATCAGAGGGACATTAGGTTACTTTACGTCCCTTGGGACAAATAAGTAAAGTAACCACCCGCTCTGTTCAGTTCTCGGGAAAATATTAGCGCAGTTTTATCTCAAAAGACGATAAAATTGTGTACAACTACAGGGGTAGGCGATAATACAATACAATGAAGACGACTTTCTGTTTCAATTTTAATATATTTATCAAGCTTTAAGACAGCATGGATACACAAATAATTTGAAACAAAGCAAAGCTGTTATTTAAAAAAACTTCTCTTTAATTACTTGTAAACTTGTACTTCGAAAAAAGCTTATTATCAATAAAAAATTAATAAAAAATCGTCTTTATTATATTGATATTATCGCCTACCACTGTACTTTATCAGGAAATTAAATATTGCACTTCCCTACAAGTTCCAGCGACCAATTTTGCCCACAGAACATACCTCACTGCGCTCTGGATGTTTTGGAAGGCAAAATTGGTCATAGGAACCCTTGTTAAAGTAAAATTCCATTATCTTGTAAAGTAGTTGTAAATAATTACCAGAAATTAACTGTATATAGATTAACACTAGATAAAGGTGTAGAACAGTTGATATTTGAGTGGTATACTGGGAAATACTAATTCTAACCAAGGGGCCGGCCTCGAAGTACAGTGTAAATACAATATTATCTTATAGATTACTACAATTAAATTGTATGCATGATTTGTATCTGTAGAAAGGATTAAGTTAACCTGTTCTGCTATCTGGATTGGCTATCCCACCCTCAATATCTCTAAGTTAACCTGTTCTGCTATCTGGATCTGCTATCCCACCCTCAATTTCTAAATTTACCTGTTCTGCTATCTGGATCTGCTATCCCACCCTCTGCATCCATATTCTCCCAGCAGTTGTTGAGTACATTTCTAATCCTCTCAGACAATTCATCCTAAAAGTCATGCAAACCATTCAAGGGAACTGAGTTTTTGCCACAAATTCTGATTTTACAATCGCTTTATCTTTGCAACCTTATGGTGTAATCCTTTGATATTTCAAAATCATTATTTGATCTAAAATGTGTCATGGTTTGAAATATCTAAGGTCTCCGACATTTAAATGTAAAGATAAAAGGATAAGAACAAAATCAATTCCTTTAAAGGTGGAAAATAATTCTTATCTTTGTCTTAATTTTGGACCAGGGACCTGCAAGCAAATGTATCCGTTTTCTTTTTCTTTTTGTTATTAGTATTATTTTTAAGGATATTCCATTAAAATTATTTTTAAGTTTAAAATATAAATAAATTTAATAATTAAGTAATAATATTATTGTGTAGATTTTTTATCTTTTTAAGAATGGAAAACACTCATTGAGTAAATAGACATGAGACCAGATTGAAGGAAACACTCATTGAGTAAATAGACATGAGACCAGATTGAATGAAACACTCATTGAGTAAATAGACATGAGACCAGATTGAATGAAACACTCATTGAGTAAATAGACATGAGACCAGATTGAATGAAACACTCATTGAGTAAATAGACATGAGACCAGATTGAAGGAAACACTCATTGAGTAAATAGACATGAGACCAGATTGAAGGAAACACTCATTGAGTAAATAGACATGAGACCAGATTAAATGAATTAGAGAGAAGTCGCTGAACTAACCACAATCGGTTCCACTATTCTCTATTTGTATACAGGATCCTGAATTACTAATTCAAAATTCATAGAAAAAATGCATGGTTAAACCGCCTGGACGTAGTTCAACGACTTCTTTCAATTCAGTCCATGGAGTGGAAATGTAATCGAGCTTAAACCGCATTGCTGAACCGCCAATAACAGGTTCCAATTGAGCGCTGGCTCAAATATCGAAACACTGAATACAATTTTAAGTGGAACAAACCATGTTTAAGCCGCATCTCAAATTTGAGACGCCGTTAAAATTCTTTAAATTCAGCCGCAGGTCTCCTTATCTTTATGAATCTGGGACCCAGCAGTGCATTAGTTATCAGGCCGATTTTAAAGAATTTGACCGTAAAACTAAACTGTCAATAATCGGTTCCATTCCAATAAGCCTCGGCTCAAATCTTGAAACACTTAATAAAATTTCCAGCTTAACCAACCATGTTTGAATCGTGTCTCATGTGGTTCAAATTCATTAAATTCAGCCTCTCTCTATTTCTCCATTGATACTTAACTTCATCCATTAATATTGTTAGATTTACCTCTTGCTTGTCAAATGAATTGAGATACGCCCTGATATCCAGATCCTTCTCTGTCACCATGGTAACAGTGCACACCTTCGTACTGATCATTAAAAAGATTGACTATATTCACAAGTTCTGTGGTATATTTTTATGAAGATAGAACAATTTCAAAATCTTATAAAAAATCTACTTACAAATTATCGGTGACCGATATAACCTTTGGAGGTTTTCGAGTCAGCCTTGAGGGGGTTGAAGTGATCTTTAACGCTGGCTCAGAACCTCGGCTGCCAGTGGAGAGCCTTGATAAAATGTTGTGTACTTTACAAAAGATATTTTCCACAGAGACAAAAAATATAGAGAAGATATAAGAGAATTTAATTCCTTCTCACTACTTAGTATTCTGTGGTTTTTATCCTTAAATGGCAGTTTTCAATTATAAAATTATATAACCAAGCAAGAATGTCCAAATTCCCAAAAAGGCGTTTATAAAAAAGACCTAGCTAGCCGCAGCACATGTCTTAAACCAAACCTGTTTAAAAGGGTGTGACCGGCAATGTGTCGTAGTTGAACTGAGAATGTAGTATTGTGGAGAAATTTTCCCGGATTCATTGGAGACATATAAAACGTTTTCATGATGTATAATTATTGAGTTTGAGTGCAAAAATCATCTTTTTGGGGTGGTTATGTTTAAGAATTTATTTTTCAAAAATCATTAAAAAACAACGACAAAAATGTATCAAAAGCTCTATAGTAAACTAGTTAGATGTTTAGGAGCATACTTTTCAATAGAAAATTGTCAATAAATTAATGTTTGAATCAATTATTTTCTTTTTCATCATTATATTGAATTTCTTATTATTTTCGAATTTGTTAGCAGATTTCTACACGCTCTTTCAATACTATTTCCAGAAAATCTACAGAATATGTCCTTTTAACACTGTATCCCTAACTCTTCGCTATATTTTTCAGGTTAAAATATAAATTCTGAGTAATGCTGTTCTGTAAGGACAGGTAAGGTGCTATGGAAAACAGTTCAGTGTGAATTTCAAGTGATGCAAATTGTGAATTTTTCAATCAGGAAAATGTTTGATAAAAAGCGTCAAATACCTTTCAAAAGCATCATTCAGTTTCTTGAGTGCATCTGTGGCTTTAGGATGGGAGTTCTTGGTAGGGTGAACCTTCAACAACATCTTCCTATAGGACATCTTAAAACCTCCTATGTCAAATGGAAGCACATCGTTCAAAGTCTAAATGTTAATAATACCAAGTAAGATCATCTTATTGAGTTTTAACTTCCACAATCTAATTACCAAGTGGAGCAAGTTTGGTAAAAGAACTTTAGGACTTATCTGTAATAATTAGGGCAAGTTTACTGTTGTTGAAGTATATCAAGGAATAGTGATTTATTAAATAAAATGGAGTTTCAAGCGTAAAAGTTAAACATTAATTCTGTACAATTTCTTAAGGATTTAATTAAGAAAAAAGTTCATTGTGTAAAAATTACCTTTGCCGATAGTATTTGTTTTATGGCATTCTTTCTATCATCTGAATCTGATTCTGGAGCCAGCGAGTTCAAATTTTTATCAAAAGCAAGAACAATACTAAAAAGTAACAATTTTTTTTATGATTTCTTGATAAAGTATGTATGATTAATATTATGGTTTTATCTGGTCTGCAAAGGTATGGAACCAGAAGATTATGATGTTAATTACTTCAATTAGAGTTTTAAGAAAGTCCAAAAATATTTTTTCAAATATTTTTAAAAGTTACCCCTTCCCCCCCCCCCCTGTAATTGATGCTCTTGGAAACAAAATTTGGTCAACTAAGGGCAAGTTTTTTTTTACCCTTTTTAATACTTTTTACTTTAAAATTTGTTAATTTAAACCTAAAAAGCCATTTATAAAAATAAATATCTACCACTCTAAAAGTCTTAAAACCTTACATTTTTTTTACGTTCTCTGGCCGGACCAACACTCGAACCTTCGTGTACTCCTCTGGGCTGTCTTTGTTTAAACATTTAAATCCAGTTTCTTTGAGACCCTTAGCAATCCTGCTTGATAAACTTGGGGCCAGAAAAGTACTCCAAAACCCTCTAAATAAAAATATAACATTAATAAGACAAATTAAGATTTTTAAATCGGCTTACTTCAAATCCCTATCTGTCAGATCTTGCATCATCACTCGACCATTTCTCACAGGCAAACTTAATAAAAAAATTACTTTAATGAAAGTTAAGAGCCCAGCAAGAGAACCCTTGGTGCGGTAAAATTTATACCTTTCTCAAAATTATAGACAATTTTATCATCTTTTAAAATTAAAATTAACTTTTATCATGCAGACTTAAGACATTTGAGAATGTCGTTATAATAACTTAAATTCCCTCTGTTGGTCGGTAATGTTGGTTGGTAGTGTTGGTCGGTAATATTGGTTGGTAATATTGGTCGGTAATGTTGGTCGGTAATGTTGGTCTGTAATGTTGGTCGGTAATGTTGGTCTGTAATGTTGGTCGGTAGTGTTGGTCGGTAGTGTTGGTCGGTAATATTGGTCGGTAATGTTGGTCGGTAATGTTGGTCGGTAATGTTGGTCATGTATCACGTGACCACTTTACTGCACTGCCATTGGTGGAATTTCTGGTCAAGTAATACGGACGTAAAAATAATATTATGAATGAAATCTATTGAAAATAGAAATATCAAGTATAAAAGTAAACCTAATTTACAATTAGCTTTCTCTGGGATATCATTGTTTTCAGATTGGTTGCTTATTTGCTGAATATGATCTGTTTAAACCTACTACTTTTATACAAGGAGGGGTATTAAAACCTTTTAAAAAATTGGACATATACAACTCTTTTTTTCTTAAACATTAAAAAAAGGCTTTTAGCAAGATTATGAGAAAAATATATATCTACATAAAATAAAAAAAATAAACTAAACTAAAAATTAAACAAATAAAGAAATTTATAAAACTGGTTAAAAAGATAATTGAGATAAAATTTGTAAACCTTTGATATTTCAAACATAGAATATTTGATCTAAACCTATTCATCATAGTTTGAAATATTAAATGTCAACGAAATTGAGGTAAAAAGAAATAGTGATTAGAAAATTAGAGTTTGTGACAAAAGCTCAATTCCATTATGAAAGTTGAGCAATAAAACAAAATTAACTTAAAATTTAAAAAAATGCGAGTTTACTCAATTGTATTGAGGACGTAAGGTCAAACTCTAATGAAACGCATAAACTTATTACTAGAGGGTTCAGAACATGAGTCTATATCAAGATCACACGTGTAGATTTAAAAGTACAATGCCCCGTATCCGTTCTATCTCATTCTTGTGGGTCTTGTTTTAGGCGACTAGGTATCGTCTTCCACAATTGGATAATAAACAACAAATAATTGGATAAAAGCAAAGAAAACCTGAAGGTGAATTCAGTAGTGGAACCCAATTTCTGATTGAGTGCTTCCTTGAAGATGTTTTCAACCTTAGTATCATCATAGCCTGGATTACAAACAAAATAATTCTTATTCTTGGGGGAGGGCACGGTTATGGTGCCCCTGAAAAAAATTCCCGATGTGCAGCACATTTTTTAGTAAGCATTAGGGTAAAACAAGCTCAAATACGAAAATTTAGCATCTATAAATTATTTTCCTAAATGGGCCAGCCATTTCTCTGTTTTTCCTGCCATTTTTGACCCATACAACCATTCTCGGCTAAATTTGGCTATCTCTGTAAATTTTTCGGGATTTTAAAATGTGATAATATTTTGGAAATCATTTAACTTGGTATTGACGATATCTGGCAGGATGTTTCTGAATATTTTTATTTTTGATGGTCAAATATTTAGAAAACGGTGAAAAATTACGTTTTTTTAAACCTTTCTTCAGCAACATATGGACTGGGAGTGGTTAAAGTAATTGGGAAAAGACGCCTGAAAGAGAATTATAAATTTTGCCATTAAACTGTAATGTACCTTGCATAAAGATTTCTCCTGAAGTGAACACAGATCCAGCCACACTTGGACTTATCAAACAAAACATTTTATATTTATTGGAATATTGATTATCAAACTTTCCTTTGAAAATTCATAAAGGCATATTTCAAAACGTCCTCCTTAATGATGGAAATATACAATTTTGGCACGAAAATTGACAAGTGCAAACCAATTCAATCTGAAGTCAGAACAGTAGTGTAGATATCTGATCTTATCCCATTACGATCTGATCTTATTTGATCCAATCTACTTTGATCTGAGGTAGGACCTTGATTTTGGAGTAAAGTTAATCTTAAACACTTGATATCGATATCCAATGTGGGTACTTTTAAATTGAAGGATCAGTGCTTGATCCCTCAATTTAAGTTATCCCAGCAGAGTATGACCACCACGCAGAATATCAAAGAATTAGATTAATCATTAAAGGAAGTGACCGGCAATGTATGGTGGTTGAACTGAGAATGTAGTATTGTGGAGAAATTTTTTAGGATTCATTTGAGACATATAATACAACAATGATGTATAATTACTGAGTTTGAGTGCAAAGCCGATATCAAAATATTCCATTTGGGTGGTTACGTTTTGAGAATCGATTTTTTAAAAATTATTAAATGACGACAAAAAATGTAAAAAAAATCAACCGTCAATAAATTGGAAGTTTAGGAAAAAGTTTCAATGTTAGAATCAATTATTTCTTTTTCATCATTCTTTATGAATTTGTTCGCAGATTTTTTCCAATTCTTCAAATGTCGTCTTTTTAATAAAATTCCAGGAAATCTACAGAAAATGTTTGTAAACAATTAGTAGGGTTTCCAATCGGAATTCCGTTGCGCGGAATCGCGCGCAATGGTTGCTTCCGCTTGCGCGCAATTGCGCTATAATTGCGAACAAGGATGCAATTAAATATTTGCGAAATTCCGCATAATTGCGAGGATATGCGCGCAACGGGATTGCTTTTCCATCTAAAAATCAATAATTTTAACTGTGACTTAAAAATTTATGCAGCAGATACAAGAATGGAAATATCTCTGTAGATTTTAAATAATCGATGCCCGAATTTCACTTGTTTCAACAGTTTTCAAATTATAAAGTTTATTGTGGCTAAGCTCAGAGGCGTATTTAGGGGGGGAGGGTTATGGGGGCTGTGCCCCCCCCTGGAAAAGATTTTCAGGGGGTTTTCAGCGCGCAACGGTGCCTGAGCCCCCCCCCCTTCCCACTACAGCTATTGGACTGAGCAGTGACCGAGAACCCCCCCGGCCCCCTCCTATAGTGTGTGATTATGTGAGATGAGATCTGCAAGAAGCCCCATCTTGGGCAACCCAGACCGCCTACAGGACTATCCTGGAATATTATCAAAAAATTGAAATACAAACGCAAGAAAGTTGGACTGAATTGCGCGCAAGTAAAATCCACTTGCGTTGGAAACCCTTACAATTAGACATTACAGAAACCAATAACTGAAAAAGATTACGTATTTTCGATGATAGTAGTTAATTTTTTTATTTTCTCAACCTGATCTTAAACATCAAATTAGTTTACTGTAGTATATTACTACATTTTTCGTCGTCGTCATTGAATAATTTTTTAAAAACCTATTCTCAAACTCATCCCTCTAAATGAACAATCTATGAGAATTTTAAAGATTGAATTTAGGCTCTTGTTGAAAAAATATGCACCGTAAAAACGTCTCATAAGTCTTAAATGATTCCTAAAAAATTGCTACATTCTCAGTTCAACTACCATACATTGCCGGTCACTCCCTTTAAGTCTGCATAAGATTGGTTTCTTGACGCTGTCCGGAGATTTACAACACATATAGTTCCTACTTCTCATTGGATAAATGAAATACCACTACATTCACCCATTCAAACCTAATCTTATAAAATCTTAAATTTAGTTTTGTTTCCTGTTCCTGATTGACTTGATCTTGTATGCTTGAGCCTTCAGAGGAAGTGACCCTTTACCATTGTGCAACTCTAAATTATCCAAACATAGATGTCTAAATTATCCAGACATAGATATCAACTGTTCATTTGCAAATTACAGGGTACATTTATGCATAAAAAGCATTCTTTAAAGAAAAACTCCCAAAAAACTACATTTTCAAATAACAATAGGCTTTTAGCTTTCTCTTAGAATACATTGTAAAACAATAACGAAACAGAAATTTCGCGGATTTTATAAAACAAATTTCGTGGATTTTCAAAAGAGACAAATTTGAGAAAATTCGATCATTCGTAAAACTCCCCCCTGGGGTCACATGAAGTCCCACACAAAATTAGATCCGATCGGTTCAGCCGTTTTGACGTTTATTAAAAACAAACAGACAGACAAACAAGCAAAGTATATATAGATTAACCATACATGAGGTTTTTTTCATTAGTGTAACAGTTTGTAACTACAAATTTTGCAATGAAACTAAAGTTCGGTCAGAAATATAATCAAACCCTTTTTTTTTATCAATTTTATACCATCTCACAAAACCCAAATTGTTACCTAATTTAATTTCAGCAGATTCATATGCCTTTCCGTTCCAGCAATATAGAGTACTAAAAAATGGAAAGAGTCTTATTTTTAAATGTAAATTTTTTATTAATTGAATTTGGTATAAGATACTATTTTCAAGATCCATTTTTAAAGGAATGACATGAACTAATAGGGCATATTGACTAAAAACTTTACATTTACTAGCTCCCAGCTATCCAAATTGCGTAAGCAGCGTAAACGCGTATTATTTTGGCTCCAATGACGCAATTAAAACGCAAATTTGAATAATTCCAGATTTCAAATTAGTGTAAACATCTAATTTTTCTAAAGAAAATATTTTATAACCCAGCTCTATGTAAAATTATCAAGAATTTTTGGAGATGTGTATTATTTTATTTCAGGTATAAAAATTGCGTAAAAATACGCTCAATTTGCGTAATCGTCTAAAACTCTAATACTAAATTAGTTGTTCAAATGTCGTGTCTGTCTGCCTGCCTGCCTGCCTGCCTGCCTGTCTGTCTGTCTGTCTGTCTGTCTGTCTGTCTATCAATCAATCAATCAATCAATCAATCANTACCTACCTACCTACCTACCTACCTACCTACCTACCTACCTACCTACCTGAATATCTCGCTGTGTCTGATCACTGCAAATATCCTCTCGACCTCATCCACCACTCTCTCCACAGCCTTGTTGTGCACACCGTTGATGGTCAAGGAGTAGGTTCCGTTGTCGTTTTTAAACCTAAAATTAAAGGAAATTGACAATACAAAAGTAGAGATGGGCACGTTTGCCTTTTTTATTTTGTTCGTTTATTGTTTGTGAACGACCCATTTTGTTCGTTTTATCGTCCATTTTCCATCTATTTCGTTCTCACTGAACGAACGTTTGGTGAGAAAACAAAAATGTTTTAGAAAAAAACGTTTGTTCAGGAAAAATCTTCAGTTTATTTTAACTGGTTCCAAAAACTTTTCGTCCAGTAAATCACGATAGTTTTTTTTTCAAGTTTGTTCCAACGATTTTAAGTTTATTTCGCGTTCCTGTTTAAAACGATAATTTTTCCATTTCTCTGAACAATTCCTTTTGTTCGTCCAGCGTTCGTTTTTTTCTGAAAGACACCCTTTAACACGAAAAATTTAGTTTGTCCTCAAAGATTTATTTCGTTAAAAAACGAACCCGGCCATCTCTATACATAAGAATCCCCCCTTAGTTTGACTGTTTTTTAACTCAATGAGCTTTTGGGGAAATTTTTAAGAGGCTAAACCAAAAACTGAAAAACACTGGTTTTATCAAGGTACTAATGCAAGGAAAGTTATTTCAGAGGTGTACGCATTTTTTGTAATGCAGTGTACTGTCTTTGGGTGGAAAAGTAAACACAAGACGGATGTCACAGCCTGACATGGAATCAATTTTTACAAAAACTGAAAACTGATGCATCTATTCTTGTTTACAAACTGGTTTCAATATGTACGCAGATTATACGCGACCGCAATTAACTTTCCTTGCATTAGTACCTTGGGTATTATTGTTTATCCGTTTTTATTAAATGTTCTACTAATCACTTTATCTTTGCAATTTGATTGTGTGAACCTTTGACAGTTTAAGCTTGGATTATTTGATTTAACAGAATTCATAGTTTAAAATGACTAAGGTCTACGAAATTGGGTTGCAAAGGTATAGGGATTATAAATTCAGATTTTGTAACTGAGACTCAAAAAAATAAAAGTTTTTAATATTAAAAGAGAAAAAGGGCGCCCTTGAAAATAATGTATACAAAGTGAGTCAAAAAAAGTGTGATTTGCGCCGCCTGGTGCAAAATTGTACCTATCTTTGTGTAACAGGATCCTGTATGGTGTTTTTTTTATATTTTTTGAAAATTTGTAATTTTTCTTGGTACTCCAATGGCCCAAAAGAAAATTCACTAACCTTTATTTCTCTCAAAATCAAAAGTTCAGAAAAGCAAAAATGTGTATATGAATTATTTCTATCGAAATCTAAAATTTTACAGAAATTTTGCAAAATTGTAACAAGAAAATTCACAATTTTTAATTCTGGTCTGATTTTTAAGGAAAAGTTATTTAAATTCTCAGGTCCTTCCTTCTTAGTATATTCTAAGGTAATCAATATACGCTGTTCAGTTGAAACCTTAAAAACCATTGAAAAACAATTTTTCCGTGAAAATTATACCAGAACTGAAAATTGCGAATTTTCTAATTACAATTTTGCAAATTTTCTGAGATTCTGTGATTCAATCTTTTTAAAATTTTAGATTTCGATAGAAACAATTTATTTGCACATTTTTGTTTTTCTGAACTTTTGATTTTGAGAGAAAAAAATATTTTTATTTGGGGCTATTGAAGTAGGTCATGTACAAAATTGATAGGAGGGGAGGGGGTCCAAAAATCGTTCTCGAGGATAGACCCCGAAATCTCGGGCAATGAATTAAAGCACAAAAGAGGCAGAAATATCAGGACTAGCGGTAGTTTTTGACTATTATCTCCAGAATTTACTTCTAAAATTAGGTTGACAATTATGCAGCAAATTACATAAAAAGTTAGGACGCCCTTCAAGTTGTCTTGCTTTATCATGTTTCAGGGACAACCTGTCATGATATCTTAAACATTTTATATCAGATAAAGGATACAAATTAGTATACGAGATTTTTGGACTCCCCCTCCTATCAATTTTGTACATGACCACTATTTAGGGTTAGGTTAGGTTAAGACGATTCCTGGGCTGAGCACTGCGACTAGGAGAGGCTAGGGTGCCGAGCACTGCAGCGCGCTGGGACAGGCTAGGGGGCCAAGCGCCGCAGCTAGGACAGTCTACGGGGCCGGGCACTGCGGCCACCATGTACAAAATTGATAGGATGGGGGAGGGGGGGGTCCAAAAATTGTTCTCTTGGAATTTACCAATTATAAGATATTAAAAAGACCTGAGTGTGCTGCCCTTAAATCCGATAATTAATCCTACTTTATCAGTTGGAATTTGAACAATTCTTACTGCAGCCATTTTATCTATAATTGTTTATTGTAAATTGTAATATTTTCAGTGGTTCAAAAAATTGAACAGATTAATTAAAATAACAGATAGGACACTGATTTAGGTTTTTCGTTCATAATAATCCTGAGGCACAAGCCCGAACGATCCGAAGGAGTTCCGGGCAGCGCAGCGTCGAATTACTAGACAGAGATAGAATGATAAGGGTTTAAAAATACTCTGTTACAAATTGATTTTGATTTTTTACTCCGTAATTTGATCCTTAAATTTCACCATTTGCTTTAATATTTGTATTGATATTTCATAATGATAACAGAACTATCTAAAATAAGTATTCTAATTTCAATCTTTTGAGATTTAGAGCGCAGAGAAATAGTCAGGACTGCAGTGTGCTGATGAGTCATATTCAAACGGTGAGTTTTCGTTGTAAAACTGGTCAATGGTCATACGTTTCTACAGGGTTCCGCAATTTCAAAAGAAGCAATTCCCCTCCAATTATTTTTTATACAATAGTGTGTATGTGACGTGTCGTCACAATTAAAATCTTGTCTATATATATTGATTTTAATTGAGACAAAAAATGTATTTAATTTGAATAAAAAATAATTGTATGCACTTTTTAATTTGGTTAAAATACTAAAGTTAAATTAAATACTAATTCTAGTAATTAAAAATATCTGGGTTTTTTCGTCACAATTATTAAAATTGCTGCACCCTGTTCACCCTGTGTATACCGCGAAACATTGCGTAGTCAGACGAAAATTCACTGTCTGGAATTATGACTCATTTAAAATAAAAATCTAGAGACGGCGCCGTAAACTTTTAACTTTTAACTGTAAACAGTGGATGAACATGAAAAAAGAGATTTTATCATTTTCAAAACTGATTTTTATATAATTGTGATTTTACTACAAGTGACAATTGGTGTCCGTCCTAGAATACAATTTTTGGGTGTTTCCGCATATTTTTAAGGCATTTCCGTTTTTCAAAAAAAAATTAAAACTCTATTTAGTTGAGGTGGTTCCTTTTTTTTAAAGCGTTTCCGTTATTTTTTGTGGCGTCTCCGTTTTTTAAAAAAAATTTAAAACTTTATTTAGTAGAGGTGTTTCCTCTTTTTTATACGGAGTTTCCACATATTTTAGAGGCGTTTCAATTTTTTAAAAAACTTTTAACACCTCATTTAGTTGAGGCGTTTCCTCTTTTTTTTTCTGAAAAGTTTCCGTTTATAAAAAAACCTTTAAGAAGTTAACTATAATAAGATATAGTCTGATAAATGTATAACATGGCACTCAGGCAGTATGCCTGAAGATTGAGGTAGTAGGCATACAAGCCCAGCTTTAAGCCTATCTATGAAATGTCCTATCTATGAAATGTCCTATCTATGAAATGTCTTTCCTGTGAACTGTCCTATCTATGAAATGTCCTATCTATGAAATGTCTGTCTATGAAATGTGCTGTCTGATCAAAAGTCCAGTCTATCAAATTTCCTATCTATGAAATGTCCTATTTGTGAAATGTCCTATCTATGAATTGTCTGTCTATCAAATGTCCTGTTTGATCAAATGTCCTGTCTATCAAATGTCCTATCTATGAAATGTCCTGTCTATTAAATGTCTTTTTATGAAATGACCCAACACCCTTGAATTTACAAGAACAGTCTATTTAACAATATTCATTTTATAAACTTTAGCAATGCTGAATAGAATGGGATATATTAGTATGGCTTAATTTTTATATTTGTAATATATAAATTAGCAGGGGCTCCAAATATGCCCTAAAATGCTGTGTACCAAAATTATAGGAGGGGGGGGAAAGGGTTCCAAAAATCCTATACTAGGAAATTACCGTGCAGATCCCTCAACCCTCTTTCCCTTCCCTATCCACCCCAAACCATAGAAATAAAGACATTTTCGGTCATTTTTTTTTAAATATACAGCTTGGTATTTGAAAGAGTTTTATGACATGCCAATCGGGTTACTTCAAATTTCGTAAACATTTCCTTTAAATACGTTTTACTACACTAAGAAAATATTACTTTTGAATTATGACTCGCTAACTTCTCTTGCTCTATCCCCCCCCCCCTCGGATGATCAAATTACCAAGATATAAAATATATATATTCTTATCGATAAGAAGAATAATTCTACAGTTTTTGATACAGCGTCCATAGGCTTGCAATCCTATAAATCAGAGCCGTGTTTAAGGGGTTTTAGCCCCCTCATATCATGGACAAATTTCTTATTGGCTCCGCGGTTAAATTGATTAATTTAATGTTTTGAAAATAAAATAATTGTTTGTTTTTTTACATATGGAAACAGCCAATTTGAAGCAGCATGAAAGTCGTCTTTATGTTTTTAGGATTATAGTTCAATTTCATATATTAACTCCGTCAATTTTTGAACATGCAAAAATTGAAGACCAAATTTTGGTAACACTTGGATAATTCTTTAATTGTGATCACAAAATGATGCCGAGTTGAACACCCTGTACATTAGAATTTTCCAATTTTTAACTATTACAAATTTGAAAATTTTGCCTTGATCAGTTTTAGAGATATATTAGACATAATTCCATTACAAAAATTCAAAATCTCTTTAGTCTTAATTTCCTAAACTGTTAACAAAGACGACTTTCATTGCGCTTAATATGGGTTATAACTGTATAGTTAATTCATGGGTTTCTTCAGATTTTGTTCATTTTTACAATAAAATGGTTCAGCTGGTTTTATATATTCCTACTCCGAAAGCTGGCCTGATCATTGGGCCCAAGGGAAGCAAACTAAGGTATGTAAAACTAAAATTTGGAATAAATTCAATCAATTGTAGATACTTGTTTTGTTATGGCACTTATAGTCATATGCAGGGTATATGACAAGGTTCAGACAACGGTCAAATTGCAGTTTTTGAAAATTAATTGAAGATTCAATTAGCGAATGGGAAAACCCTTTATTTACAGTTTTTTAATTTAATGACAAAAATATGAACAACAAATTCATAAAAAAAATTGAACAAATAGAAATATTGGCAAATTTTTTAAAATTGTCTTTATCAATTGTCGCCTTCAGTATTTTTTAACATGCCTAACTAACCTAAAATAATACGATGAGATTCATAAAACCATATATTAGGAGGACGACGACTATATTTAAAGGGACTGTAAAGGAAAAATGAAAGGGGGTATAGGATAAAACCTGAGAATCTTAGGCGTTGAACGATACCTATAAGACATCTATCTGATGTTCTTGTCTCGAGAAATTGACATGAAACTGTGTCACAATTATACCAAAACGGACATATGTCCGATTTTGTATGAAAGTTGTAGCATTAATCAGATCATATCCTACAATTACGCAACTAATCTGAAAACGATTATATCCCACAGGACAGGAGCCTGAGATTCTCAGGTTTGCTCATATTATAATTTTTTATTTTGCATTTTGCATTTTTAATGGATATAATTGATAATATTATTATACAAAATCTGATATATGTCTTTTTTGGTATAACTTTGGCACAGTTTTATGTCAATTTCTCGAGACAGGAACATAAGATACAGGTATCATTCAAAACCTGAGATTCTCAGGTTTTATCCTATACCCCCTTTCATTTATCCTGTACAGTCCCTTTAAGTTTTGAATTTAAATTGTCCAACAATCAAGATTAACACAGCAAATGTGCAGAACATTTTAATAAAAACCGGTTTTTTTCAAGCTACTGGTAAACTTTTTGCTTTATAACAACATAAAGTAGACTTCAAGTTCCTTTAAAGTCGTCTTTGTATCACACAGTTTTAAGGGGTCCACTGTATATATATAAATATATATATATATATATTCTCTTGAATTTAAACCCAACCCCCCTTCAGAGAAAGAAGTTCATCTGTTTTCCATTAACACCGTATGCGTTCTACGTTAATATGATTGGGCTTTCCATTCCGTTAATTAAACAAAAGCCGTTAACAACCGGTGCCCAGTCCTAGTCAGGAGTATAGTGAATGGGCCATCAAATTTTAGTATACCGCCCTCAAGCACAATTGATGATCGACTAAATCTTTCCTTTTCCTGATTTTTTTTAGAGGGTGACCGGCAATGTATTGTGGTTGAACTGAATATGTAGAATTGTGGACACATTTTTTTAGGAATCATTTGAGACATATGAAACTATTCTACGACGTATATTTACTGAGTTTGATCGCAAAGTCGACTTTCAAAAATATCAATTTGGGTGATACGTTTTGAGAACCGTTTTTTAAAAATTTTTAAATAATGACGACAAAAATGTTAAAGATACGTCGTAGAATTGTTTTATATGTCTGAAATGAATCCTGTAAAATGTGTCCACAATACCACATATTCAGTTCAACCACCATATAATGCCGGTCACTCCCTTTAAACGTTTTATTGTTTTAGACAATTGAGTTGTATGCCAGGAATTTCAATCAAATTTGATACAAGGTAAGGTAAAACATGGATATCGAGGGACGAGTGGAGGGGAGGGGGTGAATTTTCTGGAGAAGAATTTTGAAATTCTTTGGTCAAATGCCTTGTATATAAAATACCAGGGGGGGGGTGAACATTTTTTGCCAAAGGGGGTGGGATAAAAGAGTAAATAAGTAGCCTGTAGCTACTAGCTAACAATAGGACGGTTACAGAGACTGTGTTGCTAACTATTTTATAGCCGTCAATAGGAGGACTAAATGTAAACCCAATTATATTCGTCAGTATTAGAAAACTCTATTAGTCTGGTACTTTAAATAGGTTGATTATAACGTTAATCAGTTTATTTATGTGCTTCAGGGTAACCAACCCTGATGGAACTTATACACTAACTATCACAGGTAGAGATGGGCGTGTTTAGCTTTTTTCATTTTGCTAGTTTATCATTCGTGAATTGCCCATTTCTTTCGTTTTTTCAAATTGTTCAAAAAATAGGTTTTGCTCGTTCTTAAAATTAAACCGTTAATTTTCCATCTATTTCCTTCTTTAGCTCACCGAACGATAGTTAAGTTAAATGGTTTGTTCAGTACAATTGTTCTTTCATAACAATCGTACATTTAGTGAAAAAGAAACTATTGTTTTTTATTTGTTCTAAAAAAACTATTTTATTTAAGTAAAAAACACGATCATTTTTTCAAAATCCTTTGAAATGATTGGTTTGTTAGGTTAAAAAACAATAGTTTTTCCAGTTTGTTCAACCAATTTTAATCGAATTTTTTTTCATTAGATTTTCAAAAACAATTGTTTTTCACTTCTCTGAGCTATCTAAGTCGTTCGTCCTTCGTTAGACTTTTTCTAAACAGCACTGTTGTTTCAGAAAAATTTCGTTCGTTCAGAAGAATTTAGTTCGTTCATAAAGACAATGCCCATCTCTAATTACGGGTATGAGCAACCAGGCTGTGGAGAGGGCTAAGCAGGAAATTAACAGGATATTTCTGGAGACTAAATACAGTGAGATTTCCAGGTATAAAAAGACTAGGACATTCAGGTATCAAGACCAGGACATTCTGGTATCAAGACCAGGATATCCAGATAACAAGACATGGATAGCCATATAACAAGACTAGAATATCCAGATAACAAGACTAGGAAATCCAGGTAACAAGACCAGGATGTCCTAGTAACAAAACTAGGATATCTAGGTAACAAGACCAGGATATCTAGGTAACAAGACTAGAATATCCAGATAACAAGACTAGGATATCCATGTAACACGACTAGTATATCCATGTAACAAGACTAGGATGTCCTGGTAACAAGACTAGGATATCTAGGTAACAAGACAAGGATACCCAGATAACAAGACTAGGATATCCATGTAACAAGACTAGGATATCCAGATAACAAGACTAGGATATCCAGGTAACAAGACTAGGATATTCAGGTAACAAGACTAGGATATCCATGTAACAATACTAGGGTATACAGGTAACAAGCCTAGGATATCCATGAGACAAGACTAGGAATAGGATATTCAGATAAATAGACATAAGATATTCATGTAACAAGACAGGATATCCAGGTAGCAATACTAGAATATCCATGTAACAAGACTAGGATATCCATCCAACACGCTTAGGATATTCAGGTAACAAGACTAGGATATCCAGGTAGCAAGACTAGGATATCCAGAGAACAAGACTAGGATATCCATCTAACAAAACTAGGATATCAAGGCGTCAATACTAGGATATCCAGGTAACAAGACTAGGATATCCAAGTAACAAGATTAGAATATCCAAGTACCAAGACCAGGATATCCATGCAACAAGTTTAGGATATTCAGGCAACAAGACTAGCTGAGATTCAGGTATCAAGACTAGGATATCCATGTAACAAGACTAGGATATCCATGTAACAAGACTAGGATATCCATATAACAAGACTAGGATATCCAGGTAGCAAGACTAGGATATCCAGAGAACAATAGTAGGATATCCTTGTAACAAGACTAGAATATTCAGGTAACAAGACTAGGATATCCATGTAATAAGACTAGGTTATCCATGTAACAAGACAAGGATATCCATGTAATAAGACTAGGTTATCTAGATAACAAGACCAGGATATCCAGGTAACAAGACTAGGATATCCAGGTAACAAGACTAGGATATCCATGAAACAAGACTAGGATATCCATGTAACAAGACTAGGATATCCAGGTAAAAAGACTAGGATATCCATGTAACAAGACTAGGATATCCATGAAACAAGACTAGGATATCCTGGCGACAAGACTAGGATATCCAGGTATCAAGACCAGGATGTCCTGGTAACAAAACTAGGATATCCACGTAACAAGACTAGGATATCCATGTAACAAGACTAGGATATTCAGGTAACAAGACTAGGATATCCATGTAACAAAACTAGGATATCAAGGTGTCAAGACTAGGATATCCAGGTAACAAGACTAGGATATCCAGGTACCAAGACTAGGATATCCAGGCAACAAGACTAGGATATCCAGGTATCAAGACCAGGATGTCCTGGTAACAAAACTAGGATATCCATGTAGCAAGACCAGGATATCCATGTAACAAGACTAGGATATCCAGAAAACAAGACTAGGATATCCATGTAACAATACTAGAATAACCATATAATAAGACTAGGTTATCCATGTAACAAAACAAGGATATCCATGTAACAAGATTAGGATATCTAGATAACAAGACTAGGATATCCAGGTAACAAGACAAGGATATCCATGTAACAAGACTAGGATATCCATGTAACAGACTAGGAAATCCAGGTAAAAGACTAGGATAGCCAGGTAGCAAGACTAGGATATCCAGAGAACATGACAAGGATATCAAGGTAACAAGACTAGAATATCCAGGTAACAAGACTAGAATATCCCCGTAACAAGACTAGAATATCCAGGTAACAAAAATAGAATATCCAGGTAACAAGACTAGAATAGCCAGGTAGCAAGACTAGGATATCCATGTAACAGACTAGGATATCCATGTAATAAGACCAGAATATCCAGGTAACAAGACTAGAATATCCAGGTAACAAGACCAGGATATCCATGTAACAAGACTAGGATATCCATGTAACAAGACTAGGATATCCAAAAAACAAGACTAGGATATCCATGTAACAATACTAGAATATCCATATAATAAGACTAGGTTATCCATGTAACAAGACAAGGATGTCCATGTAACAAGACTAGGATATCTAGATAACAAGACTAGGATATCCAGGTAACAAGACAAGGATATCCATGTAACAAGACTAGGATATCCATGTAACAGACTAGGAAATCCATTTAAAAGACTAGAATATCCAGGTAACAAGACAATTAGGATGTCTAGGTAACAAGACTAGGATATCCAGGTAACGAGACTATAGGATATCCATGTAACAAGACAAGGATATCCATGTAACAAGACTAGGATATCCATGAAACAGACTAGGAAATCCATGTAAAAGACTAGAATATCCAGGTAACAAGACAATTAGGATGTCTAGGTAACAAGACTAGAATATCCAGGTAACAAAAATATAAAATCCAGGTAACAAGACTAGAATAGCCAGGTAACAAGACAAGGACATCCATGTAACAAGACTAGGATATCCATGAAACAGACTAGGAAATCCATGTAAAAGACTAGAATATCCAGGTAACAAGACAATTAGGATGTCTAGGTAACAAGACTAGGATATCCAGGTAACGAGACTATATGATATCCAGGTAACAAGACAAGGATTTCCAGGTAACAATAGTGTGATATCCATGTAACAAGACAATGATATTCAGGTAACAATAGTAGAATAGCCATGTAACAAGACTAGAATATCCATGTAACAAGACTAGGATATCCATGAAACAAGACTAGGATATCCAGGTAACAAGACTAGGATATCCATGTATCAATAGTAGAATATCTAGGTAACGAGACTAGGATATCCATGTAACAAGACTAGTATATCCAGGTAACAAAACAAAAATATCCAGGTAACAAGACTAGGATATCCATGTAACAAGACAATAGGATATCCAGGTAACAAGACTAGGATATCCAGGTAACAAGACTATATGATATCCAGGTAACGAGACAAGGATTTCCAGGTAACAATAGTGTGATATCCATGTAACAAGACAAGGATATTTAAGTAACTAGACAAGGATATCCATGTAACAAGACTAGGATATCCATGTAACAGACTAGGAAATCCAGGTAAAAGACTAGGATAGCCAGGTAGCAAGACTAGGACAGAGAACATGACAAGGATATCAAGGTAACAAGATAGAATATCCAGGTAACAAGACTAGAATATCCAGGTAACAAAAATAGAATATCCAGGTAACAAGACTAGAATAGCCAGGTAGCAAGACTAGGATATCCATGTAACAGACTAAGATATCCATGTAATAAGACTAGAATATCCAGGTAACAAGACTAGAATATCCAGGTAACAAGACTAGGATATCCAGGTATTAAGACTGCACAATTGCAATGTTTCATGATCCTTTGACGATTTAAAATCATAACTTGAGTCTAAAAGTCGTCTTCCTATTCCGAAGTGTATTTTACTTTAGTATCCTGTACTGCTGGGAAGGAGGAGTTTACGAAACTGCCGAAGTTGAATTAGGTATCAATTGGTTGACAAGGACCGTCAAATTAACAGAATGTTAGAAATATCTCACAAAAAAAAATATATTTTTCTCTTATATTCTGTTCGTAATTTCAAAATTCCTGCTGTAAGTTCGAACACAATTTAGATGGATATTATATGTTAGAACTTTTGCCGTTTGAACTGTTGGTTGTTTGAACTGTTGGTTGTTTGAACTATTATTGTTTATCTAAACTTCTGATATGACATTGTTTGTATCCTGTAAAGTGTAGTTTAAATTAAACAATTATTTGCTCGTTGAACTGTTTTCTTTAAACATCAGCAGTTTTAAGTTATAACTTATAGGTCATACAATCATTTAAAAATAGTTGAAACGAACAAAAAAATATTTTAAATGAACAAACAAAATGAGTGAAGATCCTTTTCTGAACAATTTGAAGTCAGTATCAATTGCAAAAAGAACAAAATCACCTCATTTTATTTTATGAAAGGAATTATCTTTACAATACTTAACATCAACACAGTCTTCGCAATCAAAAATTATCTCAACTCTGTTCAGTGCAATTTCAGGTTTTCTGGCATTTTAGTTTTGTCAATTCAATCTTGGGTAGGCTGATAAACAATTAGAAATCCCTGTGGATCCCTTATTAAGAAGTCAATCAAGTGCATTTTCAAGTCTAAAGTCAAACATTACTGAAGTGTCGAGGCTTCTGTGTTTTTTTTTTATATATTTTTGAAATTTTTGTAACAAAAATCAAAGCCCTAAGTCAATCAACTGCTGGACTGCCTGGACACGGCATGAAAAAGTCTGATTATCGTGATTTTATCTTATATCTCTTCAAACTAAATTTAGGGACCCTATCTTGACTAGTTAAAAAAATATCGCAAAAAAAATAAGAGAAAAAATTAATAAAGTCTCATAACCTATAGCTGTGGACCTGATATATTTCTATTACACTACAAAAGATATACCTGGATTGACAGAACTAAAATCCCAAGGCAATAAACCTGAGATTGCTCAGTGTTAAGTAAGTCTCCATTTAAAAAGTTTAGCATGTCTGATTTACAACGGTATAGTCTTTAAACATTTATCTAGCCAAATAAATAATTAAAGGGAGTGTTCGCGAAAAATGAAAAAAGAATATCTCATTCAAACCTTATTTAGAGTTGCACAATGGCAAAGTTACTCTTCCGCTGGCTGATCAATCATACTGTAATCAAGCATACAGGATCAAGTCAATTAGGAACTTGACACAAAACTATCATCAGATTTTTTACAATATTTGTCAAACATTATTAATTGGATTGGGATGGGATTGGGGATGGGGATGGGGATGGGGATGGGGATGGGGATGGGGATGGGGATGGGGATGGGGATGGGGATGGGGCATGGGGCATGGCATGGGACTGGATCGGATCTGATCGGAATTTTTGAAGCATTTTTTTGTGACGCAAGATTAGATTAGATAGCAACAAATTTGAGGGAAAACGCCAACTTTTAATCAGAGAACTTTTTTAAATTTTCTCTGTACCATGTACACTAAACTTCATGATAGATCTACTAGTTTTAATAATGAAAAATCATTGAGCACTGAATATCATCAGATTAAAGCTTTTTATGTTTAACAAATTCATTTAATGCATAGACGATCTAATTGCGGATTTTTTTAATAGTTTCAATATGTTGTTTGTGAAGGCCAAGTGTAGCTGGATTAAGTCTGGATGGAATGGATCTCACCCCTCAAGCCACATTTATGCAAGGTACACATTGTTAAGAAGATGTTCAGATTTTGTCAATTTTCATATATTGAAAACTTTACAAAATTCTTAATATCTGCGGTAATATAAAGAGCACAAAAATGGCAAACCACATTTTTTAAATGCCAGGACTAGTAAAGAACATATATAAAAAAACATATAAAGCCCTTTGCTGTTCAATTAGATTTATTTTATTTGTTGCACCAGGTTACAAGGATGATATCGTTGAAAACACCTTTAACGTAGCTCTTAAGGAGGAAATGGCTTCAACTACTGAATTCACCTTCAGGTTTTGTGATATTTTGTATCTATTTGAATTCTTTAATTTTTTATATCCAGTGATAGTTTTGAATGAAATGATAACTTGCCTCAAACTCAAATCTAATTTTGTAGAGTGCATAGATCATATTTTAAATATGAATTTTTCTAGCAAAGTTTTGCACCATCAGGTTGGAAAGCTATAAGTTTTGCACCATCAGGTTGGAAAGCTATAAGGATTAAAAAATCATAGTTTGTCCTTTTACATTGAGTATTTATTTATTTTTAATTTAGTTTTAATTTTGGGCGAAGGGTTGTTTAAAGCATCTGTTTTTAGTTTGGGGGAAGGGTTGTTTAAAGCATCTGTTTTTAGTTTGGGGGAAGGGTTGTTTAAAGCATCTGTTTTAGTTTGGGGGAAGGGTTGTTTAAAGCATCTGTTTTTAGTTTGGGGGAAGGGTTGTTTAAAGCATCTGTCTTAGTTTGGGGGAAGGGTTGTTTAAAGCATCTGTTTTAGTTTGGGGGAAGGGTTGTTTAAAGCATCTGTTTTAGTTTGGGGGAAGGGTTGTTTAAAGCATCTGTTTTTAGTTTGGGGGAAGGGTTGTTTAAAGCATCTGTTTTAGTTTGGGGGAAGGGTTGTTTAAAGCATCTGTTTTAGTTTGGGGGAAGAGTTGTTCAATCATTTTGGATATGGCCCCAGAACAGTTAGGTAACGTTTTTTTTCAACTTAATTTTTTTTTTATTTTGTGTCAAATTTTATGGGACATATTATGCACTTAGGTAGCATTTCTAGCAGATAATCGTTTATTGGTATTTTTAATAAAATGTATATATATTTTTTCTTCACCAAAATTAGATTTTTAACTAACTTATTTAAAATTTTTCATCCCCATCAAGACAGTTCTAATGTTTAGTTTGCCTGTAAGAAATGGACGTGTTATGATGAAAGATCTGAAACAGAATAACTTAAAGTAAGTAAATAAAAACTAATTAATTTAATTTACTGTTTAGCATGTTCTTTTAAATTTACTGTTTTAGAATGGTCTTTTAAATTTACTGTTTTAGCATGGTCTTTTTAATTTACTGTTTTAGCATGGTCTTTTCAATTTATTGTTTTAGCATGGTCTTTTTAATTTACTGTTTTAGCATGGTCTTTTTAATTTACTGTTTCAGCATGTTCTTTTTAATTTACTGTTTTAGCATGGTCTTTTTAATTTATTGTTTTAACATGGTCCTTTAAATTTACTGTTTTAGCATGGTCTTTTTAATTTACTGTTTTAGCATGGTCTAGCATGGTCTTAAATTTTTCCTAATGGAAGTTTGAATGTTCTATTTAATATTTGGAAAAATAACGTTTTGATAAAATTGGTTTATAAATTTAATGGAGTTTTCTTATGAACGCATGAACCATTTTTGTTTAGGGGGTTTTGGAGTGCTTTCCTGAACCCAGGTTTAGCAACTAGGATTGCTAAGTGTCTTGAGGATAGTGGATTCATCTGTTTGAACAAAGACAACCCAGAGACATTCACCAAGGTCCACTTGTTGGTCTGGCCAGAGAATATTCGTAAACAGTAAGTTTTAAACTTTCATATCTTTTAAACTGTTTTGTTTTATGTTGTAGTATTTTTTTTATTATAGTATCATTATTCTATGCTTTAGTTTTGAATTGTACTGTTTTAGTGTTGTTCTTGCCCTTGATAAAGATTTGAACTCGCTGGCTCCAGAAGCAGATAATAGGCTATCTGATGATAAAGAGAATGCCATAAAACAAATACTATCGGCAAAGGTAATGAGTACTGAACTGGTTATGTTCTTAATAAGTAAAAAATCGTTAACTTTTAATTGTTAATCTCGAAACTGATTTGAAGTTGTCTAAAAGAGATTTTATTTTCAGAAAACCTTTAGCTCTGAACAAATCTTAGTTTTAAATATTTAGATTAAAATAACTTGACTGTAGTTAATTCCAATAACTCTTTACTTCCTCATTAGATTATGAAGAAAATATCAAATCAGATCAATTTTTACATTTCCTATTTTCTGGTTTTAGACCTTGAACGATGTGCTTCCTGCTGGTTCAAGTTTGAAGATTTCCTTTAGAAAGATGTCGTTAAAGGTTCATCCGGACAAGAATTCTCATCCAGGAGCCACAGATGCATTCAAGAAACTGAAGGATGCTTATCAAAGGTATTTTTTAAGGCATTTTCTTAAGTCAACTTTATCAGAATTTTTTAGTACTATTTTCATAATAGTCTATGTAGGATGAAAAAATAGTGATATTTCTTTTGTTTTTATTATGTTGGGTTATGGGTTAATACATGTCTGTTGGTAACCTAATACTTAATTTCATTTCATTTTATTCTAAAAAACTTTACAAGCATCTCCATTTTCTAATGAGCGAATGCTTTGATAATAGATGTTATTATATATTTACATTATATAACAGGCTCTCTAGTGGCAGCAGAGGTTCTGAGCTGGCGTTAAAAATTACTTCAAACCCCTCGACATCAACCGGAAAACCTCCTAAGGTTATCTCAGTTACCACCAATAGGTAAGTGATCTTTGATCTTGATAAAAAGCAGATTTAAGCAGGGGAATGCAACTAGTCTTCCCTTTTAGAGTTTACCTGGCAAATTAAAACTCAGACATGAATCTCATTTTTATATAAAACTTATATATTCGCAACCATTTACTTATTTGTCTTTGCTGCAGGAACCCATAAGTCACTTTCTAGTTTTTATTCTTTATTTTCCACTAAAACTTATAAGGAAACATTTTTTCTAAAGGGGAGGGAGGTAATGATTTTTCAAGAAAATATCAACCCCTGTCAGATGTTAAGATAGACATCAACCGGAAAACCTCCTAAGGTTATCTCAGTTACCACCAATAAGTAAGTGATCTTAGATCTTAATAAAAAGCAGATCTAAGCAGGGGAATGCAACTAGGGGAGGATTGCCAGCCACACCAATTTCTAGTCCGAGCCGCATTCTCCTCATTTTCTCGTCCGAGCCACCCCCAAATCCTCGTCCTTCCAATATTATTTTTTTTAAGTGTCTAGTCCTCCAAGATAAAACAATCTTTTAAAAATCGGGCCATGTTAAGGCATAAATGTAATATTGAATTTTACTAAATCAAAAAAAATAGTTTCAATTGAATTAATGTTTTCGAGTTCTATGTCCTTAAAAATGGTCACCTTTTTTACGCGCATTTTCAGATATTTCTGGTGTAGAATGCCGCAAATAATTCCGAAATTATTGAACTTAAATCTTTTTTCTTAATTATAGTGAAACCCATAGATTTTTTCCGGGTGGTTCCATGGGGAAAATGAAAGGCATAGGTATGCCAAATATTTTGCCCTAAGGTGGCCAGATTTGTTAAAATTAGTTTTATCTTCAAGAATTAGAAACTTTTCAACACATAATAAACGAAGGACGAGGATTTCGAGGTGGTTCGGATGAGAAAATGAGGAGAATGTGGCTCGGACGAGAAGTTGTTGAGGCTGGCCTTCCTCCCCTCATGAAACTAGTCTTCCCTTTTAGAGTTTACCTGGCAAATTAAAACTCAGACATGAAACTCATTTTTATATAAAACTTATGTATTCGCAACCATTAACTTATCTATCTTTGCTGCAGGAACCAATAAGTCACTTTCTAGTTTTTATTCTTTATTTTTCACTAAAACTCATAAGGAAACATTTTTTCTAAAGGGGAAGGAGGTAATGTTTTTACAAGAAAATATCAACCCCTGTCAGATGTTAAGATCAGTTATTACCCTTCCTAACATATTCAGTTAGGAGGAAGGGCTGTCAATAAGGGAATGAAATTTTAAGACAAAATATATACCCCTATCCCTTGAATTATTAGGCGGAAGGTGTGCACAGTTACAATGGTAACAGAAAACCAGCTGAATATTAGAGCGTATCTGAAAACATATGACAAAATATATACCCCTATCCCTTAAATTATTAGGCGGAAGGTGTGCACAGTTACAATGGTATCTGAAAACCAGCTGAATATTAGAGCGTATCTGAAAACATATGACAAAAAAGAGGCAAGTAAATGTCATCAGTTTTTTCAATATAAATTTTTTCTATCAAACATTTTCATGATCATCCTCTTACTCACCCTTTTAACCCTATCCCTGCTGGGGTTCTTGAAAACCAGGATACCCATGACCCCCCCTTCCCTCTAAATCCCATGTTTGATGTCCAAATATGACAAATAATACATCATTGGAAAGCTCTTATGCTGTACTTTTAGAATCTACAAAAGAAAAGCAAATTAAAAAAAAACTGTTTTGCTAAATCCGCGTGGTTATATATTAAAAAGTGAGGGAAAAAATGTCAAATAAATGATAAAATATTCATTTTAAAAAGTCCTATTGACCATGCCATTTCAAATATGCAAAAAATGCAGCAAAATTTAAATAACCTTCAAAATATACCAGGGTGTATATAATTCCATTTTTCTTATTCTTTCCCCCCCCCCTCAATTTTTATGATTTACTTCCCCAAAGTCGAAAGCTTAAAAGAGATAATTTTTAATATTTATATTGGGTATGTGGGGGGGGGGAGGAAAGAATTTAATACACCTCTTCCAAGAAACATTTTTACCGTCTAACTCTGGCCTTATATCTGTGCAGTCTAAAGAATTGTAGACCTTTGATATTTCTATTAATTTAATATGAAAATTTAAATTAGAATATCAAAGGTTGCTAAAATGTAGAAATTAGAAAATTTGAGTTTGAGTCGATGAAAAAGCTAGACCTAAAGATCCTGTTCGTTAATAAACAAAATATTTCATGGACGATGTTGTCATTCCGAAAAATTAAGGTTTAGAGAAATACAAAAGTCCATCTCTAGCGTGAACCCTTTAGATTAATTGTAAAATAGGCAAACAATCCCATTTTAGGACTCTAGTGCTCAGTTGTCTGAGAGGATTCGGAATGTACTCAACAACTGCTGGGAGAATATGGATGCCGAGGGTGGGATAGCAGATCCAGATGGGAGAACAGGTAAATTGAATTATTGAGGGGGGGGATAGCATATATAGTTGAGAAAATAGGTAAATTGAAGACTTGAGAATAAGTTATTAATACTAGGCTTTTAAGGCGCTTCTTTTCCTATTAACAATATTAGTTTTAAATTGTTGCTCTGAATGTCGGCCATTCTAATCTCAATTTGTTGCTGTGAATGTCGGCCATTTTAATCTCAAATTGTTGCTCTGAATGTCGGCCATTTAAATCTCAAATTTTTGCGGATTTTTCTTTTTTCAATTTCGATTGTCAATATAAATTCTCTCGGGTCATCACACAAAATTGGGATACAATCTGTTCAGCCATTTTGACATTTTTTGGACGCAGACAGACAAACAGACAAACAGCTGCAAGAAAAGTATATTATATTATTATTACAACAGGTTTTTTAAGTAAGCATCTTGAGGATTTCTAAATAAATTAAAGTATATATAAAGGACACTATTTTGTATTAAAGTATTATGAATTTATATATTCCCAACAAGCCAAATAACTTTAAAATTCAGTGATGGTGATGGACCAAACCTCTGTAGAGTAAAAAAGTAGATGTTAGTTCCACATTTATTGAAAATATATTTCGGTCTGGGTTGACCCTCGTCAGTTCTTGAGATTGTTTCTTCACAAAGATTAAAAACAAATAACGTCATATGAACACAAACGTCATTTAATGGTTTAGCGTAATTTTGTTTAAATTACAGAGCATAATATGTGACGTTCCTAAACCAACAGGTGACCCTGTGACTTTTGAGAGCCAAAATGTGAAGTTCATAAATCAAAATATGACTTATATTGATAGGGGCTAGGGGGAATATTTTTTAAATCTGGGAGAGGGGGAGTTTCAAGCTCTATTGAGGTGAGCGGGGAAACAAAATTGAGACTTCAATTTGCAAGCTCTTTCCCGTTTTTGAAACTTATAAACAAAATTTTTTTATCTTGGACAAAAGTTAAAATTAGGCAGAAATATTCAACATTTTTTTGCTTAAACTTCTAAAATGTAAATTGAAAATCCTTCCAAATTATGAGTTATTACTAAAGGTGTGAAAATCGAGCTGGTCAAACAGATACTAGACAGGATATACTATGCCAAGGAGGTTGTCTTTAAGGGAAACCCAGAGATACTCGAGGTAAAAGTAGTCTTTTTTAATTCTACAGCCAGAGGCATAGTTCTAAGGGTAGGGGGTTTGCCACCACCCCCAGGCTCCTCCCCCCCCCTCACTAGTAGAAAGTACTTTAATCATATTTTTGTGAACAAAGACGACATTCTGTCCACAGTTTTCTGGGTCTCACTCTACAAACATAGGGATGGATTGTTTTTCCTTTTTTAAAAACAATGAAGAATAAAAATTGCAATTAATTGT